TCTTAAATATTAGCGAAAATATATGTTTGAGAAGGTATCCAAATAAATGATACACGGATTTAAGGAAAATAAGGATATTGAGTAGTAGGTTATAGTTAGGATTTAAGAGGAGAGAAGATTTTAGAAATATTTGATTATCAATTAGGCGAGATTTATAGATATCGTCTAATAATTAGTGCGAATATGCTTTTATAAGATACCATAAACGATGAATGGTTAGGATTGCATGTTATATTTTTGTAGATGATCAAACCCGATTACTTATCCGTTTTAGTATTTGAACCACTAATCACCCGTTTAGGAAACGCGCGGATCCTCTAATGTTTAATGAGATTTTTTGACCAAATTACCCCTGACGATTTTGATTAACAATGTACAAAATCCAAAATTGAAATTGAAATTGAGGCTAAATTAGACTATTTTTCAATTTGTACTTCCCTTTTAATAATAAGAGGATATATTGAAATGTGAGTCATATTAAAAAGTTGACTTGAATTGTTAAATGTGATGAAGATTTGTTTTTCTACTTTTAAAAATAATAAATTTGATAATCATAGAAAATCATTTATTTTTCTCTCTGATGGTAACTTTTTGATTTCCTTTTATGTTAAGTATTATTCATATGTATAGGAAAAACTAAATGGCTTCTCCAAAACATAGTTCGGGTTTCTCCGTTGTTACAACGATAATTAATCACAATGATTGTATATGACAAATAAGTATTAAAATTAAACGAAGCACATCCAAAATAAAATTTCAAAAGAGTTGTGGGGAAAACTTGTACTACGATCGGGTCTTTGATCAAGCCTTCCTATGCTGACGAATGTGAGAGGATATATCATCGTTTTATTTCATCGTACACATCAAGGATGGTGAACAAACAGTGTCCAAGATTTGGGTCGATAACGTTGCGCAATCCAATAACGCCGGTGAAAATATTGGTGTTCTTTTCTCTCCAAATTAATAAAGTACAATTTAAAGCAACATTTTTAAAAAGAAATCCAAGAGGCTGGGTTGGTAACTTGATGCAACAACCATGGGACTATTACCGATAAAGAGAAGGAAAGTTGGGTTCATAAGATAGAGCAAAAGCATTTTAATTTGGTGGAAACCCGACAGTTGAAAAATACATGATCGACATTTACAAAAAAACACAAACTGTTTGATGTATGACAACCCATCAAAAACTCTATTTTTTGTGAGAAGTCAATTTTAATCGTAAGCCAAACGATAAAAATGTAGCAAAAAAATAACATATTTGAACCAAACAAATTTTTTTCAATTTACTAATTTATCAAAGGCTGGGCGGGCTCGAAAAAGGTCCCAATGTGGTGCGCATGCCCGACTTAGGGTTAGTGCTGACGCTTGACGTGTTATAGCATTAGGTCCCACAGGTTTTTCAGTTTTTTTTATAAGGTTTTAAGGATCCCAAATTTTAAAAATTGTAAATGAAATTCAATCATTGTACCTAGAATTTTTGAAAAAATACTAACTAAACTATTTAAATGATATAGAATCTTACTTTTCTAAATTAAAATTATTTAAATACTTGTATTTAACTGTGTTTTCAATGTTTTCATTTCTTCATCAATTTATATTTCTGCTTTTTGACATATATTTCTAATAAACTTTTCCACACTTTATCTTTTAACAAAATCATCGTTTGTAATGACTGCTTAATTCCATAGACAGAAGTATTACCCGTTGGGCATTATTTTCACATTGCTCTACGTTAAATAAACGGATTAAAGTGACACAAAATTACTCAATTTGTTTTTATCATTAACTCATTTTAAGTAGAGAAATTAACTAGAAACATATACAATACCATCTAGGATAAATAACCTCATCATAAAAGATTAAGAAATCTATTTGTTTTGTTATTAGTTTAGACCTTTTTGTCAACATTAATTTAGACTTACGTATTTATCTTTATGCAGTTTATTTTTAGCTTCTTAAGTTGTATAATATTAGCAAAGGATAATGATGCCAACTAAATACATGCGTGCTCCAACTTTTGGGACCAATCTCATCTAATCTGAGTGATAAACAGATAGATAAATTATCCACTTCTAACTATTTTCCATCAGCTCATTTCAAAATTCAAACCTAAATCATTTCAAATCAAAAAGGTCTTTGGCTTTTTCTAGCCACTGTTCCATTAAAAAAAAAACTGCATTTTACAAGATCTTCCAAGAATATAAACAGTATCGGTGCCAAAAAAGCAATGTTAAGATCTTACAATATACGACATTCCTATTTTCTCTCGTTTTCTAAGTAAAATATATTAAATAAAACGGGTGAAATGTCAATAAAACAACAACAAAAAATGTACATACATTAAGGGCCTGACTGGTTTAAACGCTGCGGTTGCGGTTGCGGTTGCGGGAGTTTGCGGAAGCGGGCGGTTGCGGCTTCAAGCGTTATCAAGCGTTTTGAACGACTGGTTTAGCGTTTGAAAATGAGTGCGTTTGCGGAAGTTTTATGACTGGTAAACCAAACCAGCGGGTGCGGTAGCAGTTAAATAAAAAAATGACCAAAATAAATAAAAAAATATTACAAAAAAAAGAAATAAAAACACCGATATATTATTATGATAATAATTGAACATGCTTAATAATTAAAACCATAAATAAAGTACTAAATAATTATTCAAAAATAAAGAAATTTTGTAACAAGATAGTACTTTATGCATCTGGTTTAACATCAAAAATTGCATCAAGTAATGGGACAAACCGTAAATAACGTTGAATACAATCAAAAAGCAAGTGAGTTTCTATTCGAGAAAACAAATCGAAACATATATTCAATCAAAAAACAAAGCAATACGTAATCAAAATAAAAAAAAACGATGCCATGAAAAATATTCAAAAAGTTACACATGAGGTGATGAATGAATAAAAAGATATATGATACTTACGTTTGGTTATTGATTTTCATCAGTTTGGGTGGAAGACATTGAGAGAATAGGGTTTCAGAATATTATTAGGGTTTCTGATGAGAACGTAATACAAAGTGAAAGATATATATAGGATTAATATATATTATAATAATTATAAGTAAACGTTTGATTTTTTTTTTTTTTTTTAAATCCAACCGCTACCGCCCGCAACCGCAAACGCTTGCGGGAAGGAGCTTTTGAAGTTCAGCGATTTCGAGCGGTTCGAAGCGGTACGGAGCGGTTTCTATGATTGGTACCAACCGCTAACAACCGCAACCGACCGCTAGCAACCGCTAGGAGGGTGCTAGCGGGAGAACCAGTCAAGCCCTAAGGGCTGACTGGTTTAAACGCAGAGGTTGCGGTTGCGGTTGCGGGAGTTTGCGGAAGCGGGCGGTTGCGGCTTCAAGCGTTACCAAGCATTTTGAACGACTGGTTCAGCGTTTGAAAATGGATGCGTTTGCGGGAGTTTTATGACTGGTAAACCAGCGGGTGCGGTAGCAGTTAAATAAAAAAATGACCAAAATAAATAAGAAATAATACTAAAAAAATAAGAAATAAAAACACCAATATATTATTATGATAATATTAGAAAAATTGAACATGCTTAATAATTAAAACCATAAATAAAGTACTAAATAATTATTCAAAAATAAAGAAATTTTAATATAAGATTATAAGTATAGGATAAATATATATTATAATAATTATAAGTAAACGTTTTGTTTTGTTTTTTTTTTTTTTTTTTTTTAAATCCAACCGCTACCGCCCGCAACCGCAAACGCTTGCGGGAAGGAGCTTTTGAAATCCAGCGATTTGGAGCGGTTCGAAGCGGTATGGAACGGTTTCTATGATTGGTACCAACCGCTAACAACCGCAACCGACCGCTAGCAACCGCTAGGCGGGTGCTAACGGGAGAACCAATCAAGCCATAAGGGCTGACTGGTTTAAACGCAGAGGTTGCGGTTGCGGTTGCGGGAGTTTGCGGAAGCGGGCGGTTGCGGCTTCAAGCGTTACCAAGCATTTTGAACGACTGGTTCAGCGTTTGAAAATGGATGCGTTTGCGGGAGTTTTATGACTGGTAAACCAGCGGGTGCGGTAGCAGTTAAATAAAAAAATGACCAAAATAAATAAGAAATAATACTAAAAAAATAAGAAATAAAAACACCAATATATTATTATGATAATATTAGAAAAATTGAACATGCTTAATAATTAAAACCATAAATAAAGTACTAAATAATTATTCAAAAATAAAGAAATTTTAATATAAGATTATAAGTATAGGATAAATATATATTATAATAATTATAAGTAAACGTTTTGTTTTGTTTTTTTTTTTTTTTTTTTTTAAATCCAACCGCTACCGCCCGCAACCGCAAACGCTTGCGGGAAGGAGCTTTTGAAATCCAGCGATTTGGAGCGGTTCGAAGCGGTATGGAACGGTTTCTATGATTGGTACCAACCGCTAACAACCGCAACCGACCGCTAGCAACCGCTAGGCGGGTGCTAACGGGAGAACCAATCAAGCCATAAGAATTCAAGACCAGCAAAAAATATATACATGTTGCTATCTAATCATTTGATATGTTTCATGTAAAAAAAAAAAAACTACCATATAATAAACAATTCCAGAAATTATATCAAAATTGTAGAAGACAGAACAGCAATAGCCAAAACATTTAACTAAGAAATCATATAAAGGAGTAAAGAAATAAATATATTAGAACACTTGAAATTTCATTGGGTAAGAATCAATACATACTTAAACAAAAATAAACATTATGAGAATATTATAATTCATTTACATATCTGGAAATTAACAGGCGAGTTTTGGCTTTTTTGACCCCACAAAATCTTTCACATAATTTCCATTTTTTTTCTTAACAAAAAAAAATCACAGCTATATTCCAGCCTGTTTATTTCTCATCAATCTTCCATTTTTATAGCTTTCTCCAAAAATCCCTTCTTCTTCCATTCCAATTCTCTCTTAAACCCTAAACTTGTTAGGGTTAGTGTTAAAGTTCCTTTGTTCTTACGCTCTCGCTAATTAACATTCACTGATAATTCAATCTTATTGAATCCAATGGATCCGTGCTCTTTCGTACGTATCATCGTCGGGAATTTGGCGGTTAGGTTTCCAAGATCACCGTCGTCTTCATCGTGGTCGTCTTCCTCGTCGGGACCGTCTGTTTCGGATGTATCTTCTGGTAATTGCTATTGTAAGATCAAATTCAAGAGTTTCCCACGCCAGATTGTTTCTGTTCCCGTTCTGTTACGAACCGAATCGGAATCAGAGTCTCGGTGTTGCTCCGGTAACGTCTCAACCGTCGCTGCTTGCTTTAGTCTAAGTAAGTCTCAGATTGAGACGTCTCTTAAGAAGCCTAAATGGAGTGTTCTCTCCGTCGAGGTTTACTCTCGCGGTGGTGCGTCGTGTGCTGCTTCCGGTGAGAAGCTGATTGGTCGGTTTGAGGTTACGCTTGATTTGAAGGCGGCGGAGACGAAGACGTGTTTCGCACACAACGGCTGGGTTGATTTGGGCACTAAATCGAAGAATAAGAAGAAGTCCGGGTCGGATCCGGAGCTCCATGTTAGCGTACGGGTTGAACCCGACCCGAGATTTGTGTTTCAGTTCGACGGCGAGCCTGAGTGTAGTCCTCAGGTTTTTCAAGTCCAAGGAAATACAAAACAAGCTGTTTTCACTTGCAAGTTCGGATTCAGAAACTCCGGTGATCGGAATCTTAGTCTCAGGTCAGTAAATCATCAAACTTTCACTTATATAGTTGCTTACTAGAAACAGAGCTTTTGCTTGTTACTTAGAGTTCTGATTAGTACCAATTATACCAACAATAGAATCTTGCAGTATTGCTATATATGTTTAGTTATTCCCTGAGTCCTTAAGTATTCTTGGAATTTGGATTTATGCATGATTTAGGTATATTCCTTATGATGATATCTAACATGGTTTGATGTTTGAATTCTGCAGCTTATCGTCGTTGACGAGTGGAAAGGAACAGTTTTTAAAAGAGAGAAAAGGTTGGTCGATAACGATCCATGATCTATCTGGTTCACCAGTGGCTATGGCTTCAATGGTCACACCTTTCGTACCATCTCCTGGTTCCAACCGCGTGTCTCGGTCTAATCCTGGAGCTTGGCTAATCCTCAGACCTGATGGCTACACCTGGAAGCCATGGGGTCGCCTTCAAGCATGGCGTGAACCAGGCGTCTCTGACGTTCTAGGTTACCGTTTTGAGCTTTATAGAGATGGTATCGCCATTGCAGTCTCTGCTTCGTCCTCGATCAGCACAAAACTTGGCGGGAGTTTTAGCATTGATGGATCCACCGCTACAACTACGACTAGGACTGCTTCTTTGAGTAGCTCTGAAGGAAGTTTCGATCTTTCTTCCTGGTCAAGCATCAGATCATCAAGAACTGATTCAGGATCCGGGTCGGATTTCAGGTTCTCACTGTCCCAAGCGCAACAAAACTTGGGGTTTGTGATGTCGACGAGGGTGGAAGGAGTGGAGAAACAGAGCAAGCCTAAGGTGGAGGTAGGTGTGAAGCACGTGACTTGTAGGGAGGATGCGGCAGCACACGTGGCACTAGCAGCGGCGGTGGATCTAAGCATGGATGCTTGTAGGCTCTTCTCTCATAAGCTAAGAAAAGAGCTGAGACAGCTAAGTCGTATTGATGTCGTTTGACGTTTTGATACATGAGATAAAATTGTCAGTTGTCTTCCACTCACTAGTTTTTTTTTGTTTCTAGTGGGGGAAAATTGAGTAAAGTGGAAAAGTATTTTGAATTTTATGTTAAAGTTTGGACTTTAGAGTTTGGAATTAACAGGCGTTGGGCTTTGGAAAGCATGACGCATAAAATTTTATCCCTTTTGGCCCATATTCCCTTGTTAAAAGTAATTCCCCAAGAAAGGAGTGAAAATATGGGAGTTTTTTTTTATTTTTTTCTTATACTTGCGGAAGTTACAAACTTGGTACTTGGTAGTATAATCTTGCTCGGTACCTAGAGTCAGTCTTTAATCCATTCTGATTTAAAGAATGGTTTTTTTTCATTTCAAAAGGAATGCAGGGGACAAAAAAACTAATCCTCTTATATTATTATTACTAGGCTACCACTCCTTTGATGATGGATTGATGGGAGCTTTTTTAATAGTTAGAAGTGTGACTGAAGGATCGAAGAGAATTATAAGTAGCTTCCGATACCCCTAGTTGGTTGTTTTTGTTCCACTTGGATTGTAGGTTTACTTCTGTTTAAGGCTAAATGGCCCTCTCTTTTGTGATTATTGTGTATCCTCTTAGGGATAGTTGTATCAGTTCTGATTCTCAATATACTATACAAGTTTTGAGAATAATAATATAAAAAAGAGTTTGGAATTAACAGAAAATCATTTTATGTGGAAATATACAAAAGCAAAAAAAAATCGTCTACTATTACATGCAATAAAATCTAATATTTTAATTATTACTACTCAATATTGTTTCATCTTGCGTTGATCGGTTTAGTTATTGCGTTGATCGATTTTGACAATTTTTAATTATTGGTGTTGATCGGTTCTCATGAAACTATTGATTCCATAATTTTGTAATTGATGTTTATTATGAAAATATCAAAAATTAAAGATGCATTTTGAAAAAGATACCTAAACTATAATTGCAATGTCGATTGTATGATCTGGTCCGGTATATAGAATACGACTTTAAATATTTCGATTTAGAAAATAATCTTTTACACTAGGGATTCATTGAACCCAAAACACAAATCTACTATTATATTACCATTAGACCACCACCTCTTTGATCTATTAAACTAATATGAGTTGTTTTATCATTTAGTTCGAATCCGAATGTATCTTTATCTTGGTCGCATGTAAATATGTAATGAATCCTTAGTGTTCAACCCACGACAGGTTAATTTATGGTCTACTATCTTGATCCACTTGGTATCCTCCTAGTTTTCTTTTACTATTTGATGTACGTACGTCTTCTTTACACTCTATCTATTGATATTTAACATTTGATGTGGTTGGAGAATGGTACAGGTAGATAGAGTTTGTTATCTAAACTAATTTCTATATTAACACTATGAGTACTGTCCCATTAACGTTGCAACCGGCGGAGGATCACGGCCATGCACATGCCTTCATATGGAAATAAATAAACATCGATATTAAAAGTATACATCTTCAAAGCAAATACAGATACATATGACCTATCCAGAAGAAAAATAGATCACAAGACCATGCAAATCTCTATTCAACTTTCTTCTTCAATGGATTATGCTAAATATGTAGATATTTACGGTTTGATACTTCAATCTACGACAAGAAATTAAAAATATATGTTCGTTTTGTTTTCAGGAATCAATATTGTAATTTAACATAATTTCATGAATATTATTATCAATTACGATTGTCATTTTCGAAATAACCAATTTAAAAAATTCTTATACTTTAACCTCACCATTTTAGTTTAAAATTCTAAATTATAAAAAGAAAAACGGTTCGCGCGCAAATTACAAAAAGAATGTTATTAGATTTGATCCTTTTCTTTCATTTGCGCTAACTTTTCCTTCTAGAAATACTAATCTTATATATATACTTTTTCTTATTTTATTTCAGTTTTGAAACCATTTGATTTAGCTTAAGATTGCTTAGTGACAAATTCATTGCTTAATTAATCTGTATATATAAAAAGAAAAGTACTCATCGATTCCCCATTGTAAAAGTCTCCCAAAACCACTGACCCTAAGCTCATATTTGCCTATATAAATAAGACCAAAGCATCACTCAAACTCACAGCATAAACAATATATCACCCTCTTCCTAGAATCATCACTAAATACGATAATGACTACTTTCAAAACCCCTTTTCTCCTCATCGTTGTGATTAGCTTTCTGGTTATTGCAACCTACGCTCAAAACGCTCCACAAGACTACCTTAACACTCACAACACCGCCCGTGCGCTGGTTGGAGTAGCAAATGTTGTGTGGGACACAGCACTAGCGGCCTACGCAACGAACTATGCGAATGCTAGAAAAGTCGACTGCAGCCTCACACCATCAAATGGACCCTATGGAGAAAACCTAGCCAATGGACCTAATATTGGGTTCACAGGTGTATCTGCTGTGAATCTTTGGGTCGCCCAGAAAGATTACTACAACCACACTATCAATTCTTGCATAGGTATAACTTACACAAACATGCAGTTCATATATATTAAATAACTTTAATTTTTTCTACTATTTATTTTTAAGTATCTTTTACTTGAAAAAAATTTATTGACTAAAAAAAGTACGACATTTAACGGATAACTTTACATGAATATTTCGAGTTCACTCGTTTTTATTACTTTTGTCATATGTATATGAATTTAAATGGATGTTATATTCATTGCGTTATAAAAATATTTGTTCCTTAATTAACATGTTCTTTCTGCCTTTGCATTCAGAATTCGAAAAATAAATATGTTTGGTAAAAAAAGTTAGAATATGCTGGTTTTATTCAAAAACAAACACAACATGTTACATATAGCACAAACGTAAAAACGATGGTGTGTCGGCATCTGGCTCCCAACTCTATTATATTTTTCTTCTAAAATCTATTATAGAGTAAAATCATTTCTAGTGTTACTCTATATCCCATTATAAAATAAAGTAAATGATAGAATTACTCTATATATTTAAACTAACTCTATTTTTTATACTAAATATTTTAGAATAAAAAATAAACTAAAACATTGGAGAAAATTCTTATTCTATATAAAGTAAAAAAATAGAAGAATAGAGTGGAAATTAAATGGTCTTAGTGATTAATAGAAATTTGACTAATTATAATTGTTGATTTTAAAAACTACAGGTACATACCAATGCAAACATTACACGCAAGTGGTGTGGAGCAACTCGGTGAAGATAGGGTGTGCTAGGGTTGCATGCAACAATAATGCTGGCTATTTCGTGGGTTGTAACTATGATGCACCCGGTAATCAGCCTGGAGAGTACCCTTACTGATCCTGATCACCAATATTACCCAAAATCTTAATTAATTATGAATAAATCTTAATTGGATTACTTCTTATTAAGAAAATAAAATATCTCGTTAAATCTCAACATGTAATATCTATCCTTTTCACGTAAAGAGGAGTTGTAAGGTTTTGCCTTCTTTTACAGTACTTTAATCAAATGTTGTTCTTTTGCTTCTGGTTTATATAGTGCGAAAGTTTGTTCTACTCTTAAAATTATATTTACACTTGTATTCAAATTTGCAGAAAGAAAAAAAAAATGAATTTGTGATTCAATTTCAGTATAAGTTTGAAAAAATGTCACCCCAAACTGTACCAAACTTACATTGGTCCAATTTCGGTGACAGTCCTTTGAACCAAACATAACGAATTCCAAATTTTTGACCCAAACCGATCCAATTATGCCAATGTCCAGCTCTTACTATTTCTTCTTGTAAATTTTGCTTTTTTTTTTTGGAAATTACCTTGTAAATTTGAGTCTAGAGCATATACAATCTGTAAGAATATATCTAAAATTTAAAAAGTATTATTACTGGACACTAGCATATACAAAATGAAAAGAAAAACAAAAATAAATATTGTCAAAATTGAATGCAATAGAATCTATTATGTCTAATATTACTATCCCAATATCGTTAACAAGATTTACGGTCGTTCGATTTTGATTCGATTTTTTAGTCTTTAGGCCCCTTCTAACGTAAGGAAGCTTGTAGCTCAGGCATTAGTGTATATATCATATCCGGACACAAAGAAACAACGTTCGAAGTCTATCCCTCCACGGATTGTTTTCATATGTATAAATCGTGATTCGTGAAATTCACAACACCATCACCTCAAGAAGACAAAATAATAAACAATGTTCGGTTTTAATTTGATTTTTTAGTCTTTAGGTTTATCGGTTTTTAAAAAAATGTAAACCATATAAGATTCCATAATTTTGTAATTTGATATTTACAAAGATTAAAAAATATATTAAATAATTTAAATTTTCCTAGCATCTTAATCATCTAGAAACTTATCAAAACTCCTCCTTTTTTTTTTTGTTTTCGAAATAGATATATAGGTTCACAATAAAATGGATCAGTTATGGATTTGTGGTTGAAAAAAATGTAAAGATATATCTTTTTGTTAACTTTTTCAAAAAACTATGAGATTCCAAATCGAAATCCAAACTAGTTTTAAAATATGTGGAGAAATGGATAAAGTTTTACTTAAAACGTATACGAATATACGACGATCAACTGTGATTGTAATGATATAGTAAAATTAGGATGTTAAAAAATATTATTTATTTCTCTGCACAAAATTTTAATTGCATGGTACGTAAAACAATAAGATATAGCACTCACTGTCACTGACAGTATGCTTTCCTTTTACTTAGGAAATTGAAATCGGGTAAAGAAAGATTACGATATCAACAGTAGGTGTAATCATTCTTACAACCCGATAGAAGGATCAGAGCAGAAGCGACCTTACAAGAAAGCGGTATGTTAATAACCATTAAGCCCACGCATTCGGTATTTCGGTTCTGGTTTGGTTTTGGATTCAAAACCTCAATAAATGTACAAATAAATATAAGTCTCTAATCGCTTTTATTAACCGATTGTGCAGGTCCTAGCGTTTGCAGCTGCATTGGAGTCGCGTAAGATAACAGCATGCGTAAGGCAAACAAGAGGACTTGATGCGAGTGCTGGTCAGCTGAGAAATAAGTTTCAGAAAAGCCCTTTACTTGCTGAGACTGATGGTCAAGAGTCTCAACCAGAAGCAAGCTGTTGCCATGGATTACAAATCTTCGGTTTTGCCACTGGTAGGCTCTGTTCAACTTTGATTAATTGAAGAGGAGACATATAAGCGAAAATTGCCTTTACGGTTGGTTGGTCAGTGCAGCTGAGGGGATGAAGAGATTGAAGCACGTATGAGAAGTGATGTATGCTTTGGTTTATAATTATGACAAGAGAGCAAACTTAAGGAGTGTTGTTATTCAATGAATGATATTAATACTATAATACATAATTTTTATTTCTCCAATAAGTATTAAATATAATGTATGTTTCATGAGAAGCTTTCGAGTGGGTACAGAAAAACTTGAATCATTGAGTGGAATGTGAAAACTGAAGTAATGTACAAAAATAATTTCCTTTTATTATGAAATTGTAAACAACCGAATTTCGGCTTTGGTACATAAACACAAATAAAATTACAAACTTAAAAACAAATTAATTACAAAGTGAATGATGTATGTAATTAGCTGACTTCGCTTCCTGTAGACTTCACAACCTCAGAAAGAGACTACACAACTCCCATTACAAGCTTTGCAAAGCAACAATACCAACAACCATTTTTTTTGCATATCCTAGAATATGTTTTGGTTACCTAGAACCAAATCTAGACCTACCAATATTTTTTACTTTAAAAAAAAGTAACTGTATTAGCAACTATCCATTAGATAACTAGAAAAATAACATTTAATTTGAACATATTCAAAAAATATGCATTGATTTCTTTTGCATATCCTAGAATATGTCCAATGCCTTTTCTAGTTCGGCCATTACCACAAATACCATTCAAAACCTTTTCTATTTTTTTGCTTTTACCAAACCTCATAAACAGCTATGTTGGACTTAGAATAATTTTCTACCATCCGATCAATCATAGCTACTCTGATAATCTGGTGAATGGTTAGATGCCGATAAATGGCTCATTCGCTTGTAGAGAAAAATCACAACAAAACAATGTTGTCTCATCTTGAAAATAGATCTCCGTATTCCAATGAATCCAAATACTGAGAGGACGGGACAAAACGAAACTGCCACATGGCTGGTGACAAATGGAACAAGACATCGAACCTAACTTCTCACAAACGCAATCTCAATCTAGCTATAGACGACGCTCTGCTCGCTACTCAAAAGAAGTAAAAGAAAGTACCTTTCTATGAGACAAGACCAAGACTCGATCTAACGGCGGAATCTGATCTAAGAACCCATCTCAACTTTTGTGTTAAGAGGGAGTTACAGATCGTACTTGCAGAGCTTGACGGCGCTCATGTTTACTCTTTTTGGTATATGACGTCAGGCTTAGCCGCTTAGGTTTAGGTTTATGAGGTCGATAATGAGTGACTTGGGTTTATATAGTCCCAAGGTTTTCCCTATTTGACCCTTTTTGTTTTTATTATGTAAAGAGTACAAAGCCTTTTGGGTCAAATTGATGTATACGGCAATCTTATTAAAGTTGGATATATTTTGTCAAATTGTTTAACTCTGTATTTTTATAATTGGAAAAGAATATATTAATTTTTGACATTTCTAGAAAAAAATATTTGAAACTTTAGATGTAGATATAAATTCTACAATTTAGAATACAATATATTTTTTTTGGTTAAGAATTTATATACTTATATGAAGAAGATAGACTATAACAAGAAAAAAGGAAACAAATTCAATTTTTTATTTTATGAAATATTTCATGTTTGAATAACTCTGTACTTTTATAATTGGACAAGAATATATTGATTGTTGACATTTTTAGAAAAAAAGTAAAGTATAAGGTAATTAGACATTTTTATTTTAAAATATATATAAGGTAAAGTATAACAAGAAAAAAGGAAACAAATTAAACTTTTTATTTTATAACGTTTTTGAATGACTCTTTTCCCCATCTCTCTCAATCGACTTTATATTTTATATAATATTCTATTAATTCTTTTCTTAACAGAGCCAGAATCCATTCATTTCACTTTTTAGTTTTTACCATATATATAGAGTACATTTCGTTTTATTTATTTTGTATATATATTAATGTCTATGGGTGTTCAGTATTATATTTAGCTACATAACTTGTTTTTAGTGAATTGGTCGATTGTTTCTCTTTCGGCTTAGAACACCAAAGCACTCCAAAAAAACTTGTATCATATTAATAGATCTAGATATTAAAATTTTAACTGAGTGTTCTAATTTGGGAAATAAAGGATCTAGTGTTGAGTGAAAACATGAGGCTTTCCTAATTGGGTGAAACATGTATTATTTTGGCCTTTATCTGCTAGATAATGACATGTAGTTACAATGAAGATCCTAATCATTTTAGTCATTTTCTCCCATAGCGTCAAGGCTTTCTATGACTTTTAAATAGTCATTTCCATCATTACTCTAGGACTAGAAAAGAGCCTATGCGTTACATGGGTTTAATGATATATATTCAACTTTAATAATTTTGTAAATAACACTATATTTGTTTATTACACTATTTTTTAAAAAATATATGAAATTCAATTAGTAAAATGCAATTATATAAGAAAATAATAGAAACATTATAAGTGATCAAATGTGGTGATAATACAAATAACAAAATTTTAAAATAATTTCAGTTTTCAACATCATAGAAGTTTGAATATTAAATATTAAATAGTATTTATTATTTGTTTTGTTAAGATTTTTTTTTCATTTTATTTGTTGTTTTCAATTTTCAAAGAAAAAATTATAATTTTCTTGTTTTTAACTCTTAAAATTCTGCAGTTTGTTTTTTCAATGGTTGAATTTCTTTTTAAATAGATTATTATATATATATATTTAAAATAGAAAAAAACAGAAAATTAAATGATTTCTTAATATATATGGCAAAACCTTAAATTACAACTAAATAGAAACAGAGGGCGGATAATCTGGCAAGGTGTTTTCAGTGTATCTAGAGGAATTTCAAAGCGACAAGGAAGAATTTTCAAGCTTCTCTTTATCTTTAATTTCTCGTAGTGCTAATGTTAAGGCGGATAATCTGGCACGAAAAGTTCGTACGGAACCGTCTCATATCACATATGTAAACAACATTCCTCAGGAATGGCTCTTTTGAGTTATAATTAATTTCGGATGACAAAAAAAAAAAAAAAAAACAGAGGGAGTAGTAGTTTGGCATCCTATACTAATATTTGGGAAGTACATCCTAAGGATCATAACTTAAATTTTGTAAGAAATTACAATATATGCCATTATATAATTCTAATCATAAAATTTATTCCATGTCACTAATATATATTAACGGGTCAACGGGTCAACAGGTTTAAAGATATTAAAAGATTTTGTTTATATAATACATAATTAATATAATTCGAGAATATTATATACCAATCAATATTCGAGATTATATAATACATAAAAATGTTATATAATACATAAAAGATTTTGTTTATATAATATATAAAAATGTTATATACTAATATACTAATATATTATTCGAAAATGTTATTGAAAATTAAAAATGTTATTCAATTTGTTATATAGTAAACCATTATTCGAACATCTTATAAAAAATGTCATTGAAAATGTTAATGAAAATGATATATCATTGAAAACATTTTATATCAATCCAATTTATAAAAAATAAAAAATGCTATTTTGAATTATAATACTCATATAGTTCGAAAATGTTATATAAATTGAAAATGTTATATAATTCTTCATTTTTTAAAAATGTTACTAAAAATTGAAAATGTGTCTACGTTCTTATAACTAAACAAAATTTATTTTCAACTACAATTCGTAATCTTTGACAATATTTTCAGTTTCCTAAACATCTGTTATCATCTTTGACAATATTTTCAGTTTCCTAAACATCTGTTATCATCAATTTCATTGTTTTTGATTAAGCTAAACAATACAATATTTTCAGTTTCCTAAATCTTTGTTTCTGACTTCAGTTGATTATATTGTCTAGGTAGTATATTCATTTTTTAATTACACGGGTCATTGGGTCATCAGACGGGTTTAATTATACTATCTAAACAATATAATCACATAATTTTGTAATTAATTAATTAGGGAGATTTTGTAAATAATAAAATCAATTCAAACTAATAAGGCAAATCCTATACTATTATTTGGGAAGTACATCCTATAAGTCGTAACGTTAATTTTGTAAGAAATTATAATATATGCCATTAGATATCTCTAATCATAATCATTTTAATTCCATGTCACTAACATTAACAAATTAATTAAAAAACGGGTCAAATAACGAAAAACGGGTTTAAAGATCTTAAAGATATTAGGTTGTTATATTTTGTTTAGATATAAATTCGTATTCAAGCAATTCGTAATCTTTGAGAATATATTCAGTTTTCCTAAAATCTTTGAGAATATATTCAGTTTCCTTAAAACCCTTTATAAAAAAAATAAGTTATAATAGTTGTTATATTCTAGATCGTTTTTTGTTTAGTTTTACGTTTTTTGTTTAGTTTAATCACGCATCAATATAATCAGCTATTCAATTTCCTTAAAATCTTTTCTAAAGATTGTCAAATCTCTCTGTTATATAATTTTGATCCTATATTCCAAATAATCTAAAATATACCTTTCTAAAATATTATCTAACTATTTTATGTTAATTAATATATTTCTGAATCTCATAATTATCACAAACAATCTACAACTATAAATATCCATTTAGGCTTGACGTACCTTTCTCACAGAAATCATCTCAGCACCATTCTCATATCCTACAATTAAAAATACAGCAGAAATGGCTATGGTTAGTCCCTACACTCCTATTAACAATTTGAAGCATGTCAAGACTTTTTGCTGTATTCAAGTTAGTATATTTCATTCGTGGATTCATTTTACAAAAGGTTCTGGCATATCTTTGGAAATGATTTTGAAAGATGAGCCTGTAAGTACCATTGAAATTTTATACAATTCTCTTTGTAATATATGTGCGTAAGTGTTAAGTCATCTTATTTTAATTACAGGGTAACAAAATTCAAGCAGACATCAAATAGGAACAGAACAGCAAATTCCAAAGGTATGTTAAACCGTTTTTTTTTCCTTTTTTTTAAACCATGAAACTAGGCCCCACAAACCCAATATAATCCATTAAAAAACTTAGACCCAATACAACTATTTTTTTGTTTGTTCACAATCACACAATAAAATTATCAATTCCTAATTGAACCAAAGAAATTATTAATCTCATATACAAAAATACAAATCTAATGCTGCTAAATATATTAAATTCTAAAATACAATATTCTCTCATTCTTTAGTCAAATAAAATATATAACATTATATCCAAATAGTAATAAATATAAAATATTATGATATATTCCCTTTTATATTATACTATTATACTAAATTATTCCTTATTTCTTCGAACAAAATATACAATTTAATTCATGAAAAATATTAAATCCCGTGCTGTATAGCACGGGTCATGATCTAGTAGTTTAATATTTAAATATAAAAAAAAAAATTCTAAAATACTTATATTTACTGCATTAGTTTGGGTTAACCGTACAATTTTATATTGGTTTTAAAAAACATACATCTAATAATAAAACTACCCAAAATGGGGTTGGGTCTCGGCCAAATAAAATAAAATCTAATTACAAAATAGGTAAACCTAAAAAAACAGAAAGGCTCGAACCCTATTGATCATTAGGAGCAGAGTAGCAATAGCCTTAGATATGAAGGAACGAGAACCACAAGCGAAAGATTTCGGTTTTCCTTCGCAGTCCCGATCTGCCAACGCATCAACCCGCCACAAATCTCCCAGAAAGCTAGCCACCCCTCACCAGTTTGACGATGTTGGATCCATACCTAGAAACCTAACATACTAGGGTTTATCCCCTTTCTTACAGGTCCGAGTCACTCCGATTTTCATGAGCTGCTACTCTTCAAACCGGACAGATGGAAGCTAAACAAGGCGGATCCAGAATACGGTAGCTCACAAGAAAGCCATCTAAGATCCATCAGATCTACAGATAACCACCTTGCCGAATAGCAAAACCCACCGTATCACCACCAACTTTTATCCGCCGTAGACGTAAACACGAGAACGACGACTGAGCTTGAGAAGCTTTGAAGCATCCCACGGCGTCCTCAACCGGGAAACCACTGCTATAAAGCTCCTACTCCACTAAACCAGAGCCATGACCACATCGATAGGGATAGTCCTCACCACCGCTGAAGGATAAGAGTAGCAGACTCACTCCTGGACTTATGTCGTATGACTTTAACCTACGATGAAAATCAAACGAATCAGAAAATAGATCTAAATCTAAAAATTTGTTTTCAAGAGAAAGAATGGCTCTTGGATCGAGGTAACGATTGTACCCTTTGGTTACAATGTAATCTTTTATTGTATTTTGTTATTGATTATTTTTTTCTGTGTTACAATTCTTCACCATCTTCACCTTAGTATTTTTTAAAAGATTACATGTAAGTGATACACATACAATAAACCTTCTTACTGCATGGTTAGAGACTTAAGAGTTATGTAAGAGACAATGTCAAGATGGGCCACACTGAAGCCCAAAACAGTCCAACATCAATTCAAGAAGTAACAGGCCCAAGCGTCAAGCCCATCAGTCTTCCTTACAGAACAAGACAAAATCTTCAGTACCTGCAAAAGAAGCAAGAAATGTTAAAACAAAGGAAGAAACGATCCTCCATCCTAACAGATTCAAAGCACTCCAATCTTTAGCTGATGGCTAGTCAATATCACAGTTGTCCATACAAGATTAGGATGACCTAGTTCTAGATTGTTCTAAGGCTCCTACCTATTCAAGTGTATGCTCTCATTGTAACCTAAGTTGGTTTTCTCGTAATCAGAAATACAAAAGTTCTCTAAATCTACAATGTAATCACATCATATAAAATGTTAAGAGTTTATCCCCTCATAATTACAAATTACAATAATTAAAGATAATCATAACGCTGAATATTTATTTTAGTAATTATATTTTATCTCATTTAGAAACTAAAATATTAAAAAATAAACAGCAAAAGTCACTTTTAATATTAAAAAATAAATTTCTAAAGCCATTAATAAGGTATTTATAAGATATTATAAGATTTTACAAGCTATTTTATAAGGTTTTACAAGTTATAAGGTTTTACAAGTTTTTTATAAGGTTTTACAATTTATAAATACCTTATAAAACTTTATAAGTACCTTGTAAAACCTTACAAAACACTTGTAAATACTCTGTAAAACCTTTAAAATACCTTGTAAATTTTCCCGCCAAAAATTTTCCCGCCAAAAAAATTTCGCCAAAAAAATTGCGGAATCACTTTTCCCGCAAAAAAACTTTTTTGGCGGGAAAAATTTTACAAGGTATTTTAAAGGTTTTTACAAGTGTTTTGGCGGGAAAATTGTGGGATCACTTTTCCCGCCAAAAAATATTTTGTATTTTGTGGACCTAATTTTGTTTCAAATAAGGGTAAAATGGTCATTAAAATTAAAAGAGGGCAAACTTAAAATTAGACTCTCAAAGAGGGCATTTTTGAAAAAGAGTATTGAAAAAGGGGCATTTTTAACAATTTCTCTTAATGGAGACCACCATTGTATCTTTTTTGTTTAACTTATTACGAATGAAAATGTATCTTGCTAGCTCGCATAAGATAAATCCTTATGATTCAAACCCGCGCATGGTGAATCATAGTGCTATATCTTCATGCACTTGGCCTCCGCCCATACTCTACTGGTTTTTTTTTTTTTGTCCATAATGGATTTTCCATTTAAAACATGAGAATAAAATGTTTTAGACTACTATCTAGGATCATGCATGGCTAAGTTTCTTAGCCTTTTAACAAAAAAAAAAAAAAAAAGTTTCTTAGCCTAATGACACCAAAATGAAGAACCAGTTTAAAACCAAGATACAAAAATCCAGTTTTTAGGCAGAGAGGCAGAACCGCAGAGGCAGAGACTTGGACGCGTAGCCCAACGTATGAGGATGGAGACGACGAGGAAGTGAAAGGCCAAAGTTGCATCGTAACTCAATTGGCCTCTAAATCGTGTCTGCAATTGTAGAAGATATTTGATCTACGTACGTCTTCTTCTTTACACGCGATCTATTTTCATTTATTAACGAAATTGTATATCTATACTAGTATAATCGCAGCACTTTTTGTGACGGGTGGGTAAAAAAGCTTTCGGGTATATCGGATATCCGACCCATTTTAAAAAAATTTTCGCAATTGGGTCGGGTTATATTTAACCCAACTCATACACCGGATATTCCATATTTAATAATTTAGATTTTTAGAAGATTTGATTAAGATTTATAATTATGATTCTCCTTTCATCTTTGTTTGATTTGTTTTTAACTGTTTTGAATCATCATATAATACATAAAGTAAAAAAAAAAATCAATTTTTTTTCTGCATATACTGTGATTCGAAATTTTAAAAAAGGACATATATTATCCAATTGACGAAAATGTGTGTTCAACGTTCTACATCGATTAAAATATTTAGACAATGATTCAGAATCATATCATAAATAAGAACATTAATAAAATAAATGAGTTTTTTGGCGGGATGGGTTTGGCGGGACGGGTTTTTGAATCAACAATAATAAAAAGATTAAAATATCATTAATCCGCCGCTTCAATACGGATTTAATCCTTTTTTTTTAATACAAATCACAGGACGGGTTAAGAAATTACGGAACGGGTTATATTTCGGAAATGATTTATATGGCGGACGAATTTGAATCAATATTTATATACCGCTTTAATACGGGTTAAATCCTCAGTTTATTAATAATTATCTCGTGGACTCGTGGTATACCGTTACTTAATAACAATTGTAAACTATAATATAAATATATATGTTATAAGGAGATACAATTTACAAAATATTTTTATACTAACTTTAAAATTAAATTACACCGCGGGTTAAAATCTAGTATATATATATATATATAGTGGACGTAGACGTACATTGGTACAAGTGGAAAGATTATGTTATAATTATACATTACTACGAATGCTTCATAACTTTGTAACCGGCGGAGGATCGGCCAGCACATGCTATCCACTTGTTCATAAATAAATTAAACTTTCATATTACCCAAATATGTATACATCTTCAAATCAAATACAAATATACATAACCAAATCTCTATTCAAAATTTCTATTTCACTGGAAAATAATAAAGAAGTAGATACTTAATTAGGGATATGATGCTTCATTCTATAACAATTAATTAGCAATCTCCATCTGTTTTGTTAATATTCTAAAATAATATAATTTCATGAATATTATTTTGACGACGTCATTTTTAGAATATTATATTAACCTCGCCAGTTTTTATTAGAATAAATTTGTAACAAAATAATATTTTTCGCAAAATACAAAAGAAAATATTTTAGATTAATTTGTCATTCTTAATTATTCAGTTGCGGTCACTTAGCTTTGCTCTAGCAGTACGATTTTTGTTATATACTTTTGCTTATATTATTTTATCTTGTGAGACCATTAAATCTAGCTTAAGATTACGTAATAGTGATAATTAAAGGCATGATAACACTTTTTGATCATTTTACTTCACTTTAAAGATAAGTTTAATCTTTATAAAAAGAGAAGTCAACTTAAAGCAGCAGATGTTAAAAAAAAAAAAGAGAAGTCAACTCCCCAATGTTAAAGTTTCCCAAAACCACTGAACCCAAATATCATACATTGCCTATATAAAGAAGGCAAAGCATTCCTCAGACTCACAACATAAACTATATATCTCCCTCTTCTTAAAATCATCACTAAAGAAAAAAACACGACAACATGAATACTTTCAAAACCCCATCACTCCTAATCGTTGCGATTAGCTTCCTGGTTATTGCAACCAATGCTCAAAACACTCCACAAGACTACCTTAACTCTCACAACACCGCTCGTGCGCAGGTTGGAGTACCCAACGTCGTGTGGGACACAACGCTCGCGACCTACGCATTGAACTATGCGAATTCTAGAAAAGCCAACTGCAGCCTTGTTCACTCCAACGGACCATATGGAGAAAACCTAGCTAAGGGGAGTAGTTCCACGTTCTCGGGCATCTCGGCCGTCAAACTTTGGGTCGACGAGAAACCTTACTACAGCTACACATACAACAATTGCACAGGTATATATCTAATCTCTTACACACGCAATCCATATCATTCGCCTTATACTTGAAATTTTTGTTTGTCAAAGTACATAGTTAATTATGGTTTGCAAACCAATTGGTTTCATCTGAAAATGAACACAACGATTTCAAATGTAACATAAACACATAACGCAAAACTTAATCGAGTTTAAGTAATTGATAGAGATTTGAAAAAGCTTGTTGAATTTGAAAACAACAGGTGGAAAACAATGCTTGCATTACACGCAAGTGGTGTGGAGAGACTCAGTGAAGATAGGGTGTGCTAGGGTTCAATGCACCAATACTTGGTGGTTCGTGAGTTGTAACTATGACGCACCCGGTAATTGGGTCGGAGAGTACCCTTACTGATCAGTTACGAATAAATCTAATTTGAATTACTGCAAATTATAACTGATCACTAATATTACCCCTAAAATTATAGTTATGACATGAATAAATCTAATTTGGAAATTACTGCAAATTATAATATAATTAAACTTTCTCAATCTCAAGATGTAAAAGTTTATGATGTTCATCAAGAGGTTGTAATAATTAATCAAATGGTGTATTTTTAATTTCTTGTTGATATAGTGAGAAAGTCCGTTCTACTCTTCAAATGCTATTAATTTCCTATGTATACATGATTTCAGTTGTTATTGAATCTGAAACCGAATTTATTCAAAAAAAAAAAAATTAACAGTCAATAGCAAAATTTCACGTAAGAAATTTTATTTGGTGAATTATTTTAACATATCAGAATTATTCCGTGAATTTCCCCATAACATTTTTAGTTGGGATGAGAAAGAAGAGATGTACAATATAGTTGTTATCTAAATTATCAATTATGAATTATCAACAAATGATAGTTTGGCCGAGTGGTCTAAGGCGCCAGATTTAGGCTCTGGTCCGAAAGGGCGTGGGTTCAAATCCCACAGCTGTCATTAAAGTTGTTTTTAATTTTTTTTCATGGTTTACGTTCCATAGATGGTGAATGCTTTTATTAAATTTTTAGCTTTGCTTTTTTTTTTTTGAATTTTTAGCTTTGCTTTTCCTCCTTCACTTTTTGTTGTTTCAACTTTCAACGATACTGAAGGACGATCCTTGTCTCCTAATTATAGCCTTATAGGACGTTGTTTTTGAAACTGTTATTAATCATATTGTATCTAAAGAGTTTCCATTACATGTACAAGTTTAAATCGACCCACTTCATATATATTCACAAAATTTTCATCTAAATCGTTGTTTGATTAAACTAGTAGTATAGTACAAATAATAATAAGAGAAACCCAGAAGCAAAACATATAAGTATATAACTATATATAGAATATCATAAGATAACTTTATTTTTCTTTGTTCACTTTTTTTTTCAACCATACACAAAGGCAAGTTTTTTTTTTGGATATAACTGTAAATATCATTAGAAATGAAAAGTTTAGGGATTACAAACATAATACCTAGGGCTTTTGAGAACCTTGCCAAAAAAGAATAAAAAACAAGGCCACAAATGTTTAAGAAGACACAAAAGTGAAATCATCTAATCCAAAGTTGCATTAAATTTCTAAAATGCTTCCTTTGTCTTCGAGCATGGAAGGCAAGTTAAAACACTATATACTGAAATCACTCTCTTTGTCTATGAAATGACAATCACTCTCTCTGTCTCTTGCATCTTCAGAGTTCTCCACTACATGTCTCATTGAGTAATTAATAAAATTTGCACAACTTTCCGATAAAAAAAAATTCATATATTCAAGTTTCAAACATGAAAGATAAAAACCATGACAACATGTTAGCTTTCAATTACAGGAGTAGCTCTTAAACCACTCTTTTATTTGTTGGTATATCTTATTGATGCTTTAAAGTTGAAACAACAAGAACTATATATATATAGATGACAATTTTGTTCGTTTTATTTTTTTCTCGATTTTTGTTTTTTGTTTTTTTTGCCTAATTTATTTTCTTGATTGATTTCTTTCTTATTTGTGCTTATTTCTTTTTGAATTCCTTTTTCTTGATTGTTCTTCTATTTCATCAGGAAACGAATTATTCAACAACTACCATCCAACCCTTCTTATCTTCGACAACTCCCATTTGAATATTAGTTAATATCAAGTGAAGCTTCGTAGACAATGCCTTTTCCCCTGTCTTGTATTTTATCCTGCGGACAAAGATAGATATGACCCAAAATCAACTTTACGTAACCCCAAAATCGGAAAGATTTGATTAAATGGTGTACTTTTGTAAAAACTAATCACTTTTTGTCATGGATGGTCACGGTTTCAACAGCTTTGACGACCATTGCGGTCCCAGTGCAGAAAACTTCTTCTGCCTCTAATAGCTCATCCACAGAAACATCGCGTTCTTGAACCTGTGGTACATGATCACAATCTTCAAATCTTGACAAGATTTATGAAATGTCTATACAAGAAAGAGTATTATTAGATAGAGCTGGAACCTGGTAGCCAATATCACGAGCTAGCTCACTTATGCTCTTCCTTGTGATTCCTGGTAAAATGGTTCCTGAAGTTGGTGGAGTGGATACAATGTTTCCCTATAAAATGAAGGATATATACAATAAGAGTTCTTGCAAATACAAACTTAAGGTTGAAACTTTATCTTATATGTTATAAATTTTTCAATGATCTTTACCTTTAGAATGAAGATGTTACAAGTAGAAACCTCTTCGATGTTTTTACCAGTTGCCGCATCCAGGAACAAGACATCAGAGAAACCAGATGACCTTGCTTCCATCACCGATTTCACAACCTTCCAAATTTTATACAAGAAGAAACCATGTATTAGATATTTCATTAACTTGTTGCATGGCAATCTATTTATCTCTGGTGTCTCTTTATTACTGGAGAATAGTTTGTGCAGCTTTTCACACCCCCTGTTCCACCAGAGTGGGCTCGGCGATGCTTATGATCAACTATGAGGTTCAAGCCTGAACTTGCCTGGAAGACAGACAAACCAGTAAATAGTCTTAAATTTAGGAGTCTTTAGGCAGCATGGCCATATTTGAGCAAGTGTCAAGTGCTAGTGCTCATGGTGTACTAAAAGGATAGCATTATTGATATTTAAAATTTAGAGCCACACTGGCTTCCTTTTACTTACAGTTGAGATCAATATTTAAAATATTAGACCAGTTTACTTGACCAAGTATTTGAACAACAAATAAACTCACCTTGTGGTAATTTCCAACTGGAGATGTGTAAATGAGGAACGTATATTCAGGTGCTGAAGCTACTCCAAGGACAGCACCAGTACCTATGAGTAGAGGCCTAATATACAAAGCTCCTTTACCCGGAGGAGGAACCTAAAAAAAAAAAAAAAAAAAAATCAAAACCGTAAAATTCTCTAGCTACTTATAAGTATTCACATGGAAATATAGAGTCCATATATACCCATTTGTTGTTGGCAAGCACAGTTTGCTTAACTGCTTCGACGAATTGGTCCAGAGAAGGAGGTGTCATACAAGTCCTATCCGCACCTGTTTGCATACGAAGAGCGTTTTGGTCAGGCCGGAAGAGTGTGATCCGTCCGTCTTCTGTCCTATAAGCCTTGAGACCTTCAAATAATCCCTACAAACCCCAAGCCAACAGGCAACATCAGATTACGTTTTCTCCAAACTCTCTTATATGAACACTAGCATGAAAGCTTTTGCTTAAGAGTATTTGATCTAATTAGCTAAACCGATCCCAATCTAATATAATAAAAACTGGTTCAAAAACCAAAAGGATCTTTTTTTTTGTCAACCTGTGATTACACTATAAAACTTAAGTCCTAGTTCGTTTCGTTGTCCAAGCGGGGACAATAATTGACATAAGAATAATCAAGAATCTGACAGTAGGCCATAAGATTTAAAGTGAAGTAACAAGAGTTTTATTTTGATCAAATAGCTTACTTTTTAAATATCTAGCTAGGAAATTCCATGTTACCAAATCGAAATCAAAAAGGCAGAATCGAATAGTAACCGTCTCAAACCGTCTAAAGTAGACTCATTTTGATATCGGTTGCTATTTTCCTAAAGCCAAAAAACCAAAACCGAAACCCATAATAATTTGTATAAGTGAGTGTGGCAAAAATGAAGAGAGAACAAAACCTGGCCATAATTGAGAATCCCAGCACAAGGGCTTATTAAAAAATCCCCATAAGGAACAATCTCTCCTTTTGAAAAGCTCTCTCCTTGTTTGCATTTCGCCACATACATATAATCTGTTGGAACCAGTGCGAATCCGAGCTCGTCCCATTTTACATTCGCATACTTTTCATCCGCTTTACTGAAAAAAACACTCAAACTAATGAGTAAAAGAGTTTTGAATAAACAGAGAAGGGACTAATATGGCAAAAGAACACGAGAAACCCAAATCGGGACTCTTAGAATTAATTAATGATTCTTTTAAGAAAACAAACCTAATATACTTTTACCTTGTAAGAAGAGGTGATGAAGAAAGGAGCACAGAAAGAGCCATTGGATAGAGGAAGACAAAAAGAGCAAGAAAGTGGTTTGAGCTTTGAGAACAACTAACCACGCTTGGCTTTTATAGGGACAACAACAAATATAACCATGTGGTCATACAGTCAGTGGTTGAAGGGTTCGTGTTTGTAGCCTTTATTTAAATTTATATCAACTACATGAATTAATATAGCAAAATACAAATCTATGCTAAAGTATACATGAAATAAGAATTACATGAAATCCATTCTTGCAACCGACCTAATATTTAAAGATCACATTTTCCGGATTGATCATTTCTGCTTATTCTAATAAAGTTCTTATACATACATGCATATATACTCCTATTTGCTGTATATTATTCTAAGAAAGTTCTTCATTCAATGATCAATGCATGCGTTTTAGGCTATACGTGAGATTAGAGTCGCCGATCCTACATGTAATATGAATCATTAGCAAACCCATTTTTTGATCTTAACATTTTACCAAACAAAAAAAAGAAAACCCATTTTTTGCAAAAAAAAAACAAACATGAACCAACTAATTTTAAAAAGTGGGCAATAGCTAGCTTTTATTCGACGTGTATCTAGTATCTATCTACCCTACTTTTAAATACACCAAATCCCAAAAAGCATTTTCAATATTAAATTTAAAATATAAGAGGAACTTGAATGAGAGAGAAAGAGCTAATCAATTTCAAAGATAGATATGACCCAAAATCGACGTTAGGTAAACCGCGGAAAGACTAAAGATTTGATGAAATTGTCTTTTAAGATTTTATGGACCTCAGATATTAGCCTATGTTTTGGTATGGGATTCCTCTGATTAACAAAAACAAAAAAAACCATTGTTCACTTTCTTTCGTTTTATCAATATTTTTTTCATGTATTTTGAAACAATTTTTAAAGCTTTGAGTAGCCAATACTCATAAAAAAGGGTGAGTTTTGTCTACTTTCAATGTTTTTGTGCTAAATTAACAATTTTATACGTTTTTTGTTTTGTGTGCTAATTAACGTTTTCTACAAAAACAGTTTCAGCTTTGATTGAGATCGATGAAGAAAAAGTTGTGGGCTTGTGGATGTCTAGCTTACACTTGTGGATGCAGCGCTACTATGCCGCCTCCTCCCATGGATTTTGTGGCAGATCATCCATTTTTTTCTTGTTTAGAGAAAACAAAACTGGAATTGTTTTTTTCGTTGTGCAAATCTTCGATCCTTCGGTATCTTCTTCTACTTAGGAGGGCCTTAACCGGATCAGAGTTGGGATTTTAAGATTTGGTTCTTTATGTAAATTTTCATTTTCTATTTTTAAAAGAATATTAATTATTTTTTTATTTTTATCTTAATAGGTAAAAGTAATCAAATTTGTTTCAATTTTAAATTTACTCTCATTGCGATTTTAGTTTTATCTTTCCATTTGAAAAATTGAAGAAGAATATTTAACTCTATTTTCAATGGGCATATCGAAATAAGAAATTTATACAAATTAAACTATCCCGGATTCCTTCATTCAACATTTCAACTAATTAAAAGAAATCTACATTTTAATAATAACTAGGTAAGAGACCGTGCATAAAATTTATGCTATTTAGTTTTATAATATTTAATTTTGTATATAGTTTATAAATCTTATGCTATTTAATTTAATTTTAATTTTATAACAATTGAATCTTATGCTATTTAATTTTAATATATATTGAAGATATATTTCCAAATATTTGCTATTTCCTTTTTTGGTTGGCTGAAAAATTAAATATCTTCCTTACAAATCTATGAATTACATAATTTTGATAGCACTAGAATTTTATGGATACATGAATTAATTCAAATTATGTGTGTACAAAAATGAAGAATGAAATCTCAGATGAAATCTCAGACTAACTAATTTGTCAATTAATTTCATAGATATGTTTAAGATATACTTTCAAATTTGTTCAGTTTCTTTTTGGTTGAATATAAAATAAAATATGTTTCATATATTGTTTTTCAATCGATAAAGTTAGTGCAATAAATACATTATAAATACTATATGTTGATGCCATTCTTACTTCAAGAATTGTTTGAGATCCTAAAAATGAATCATTTCATAATTGTTTTGCTAGTTACTACAATGTTCTTTGGGCTATATGAAGCTTGCAAAACAAATCATGTAGTAATTCATAACGAACTCGGTCCTGGTATTGTTCTCAACATTGCATGTCGAAAAGATAGCATAGAGCGCCCACCTATATGGTTTCATAAGCTAAATTTTAAGGATCCTTTTCTTATCATTAAGTTTGTGGATAAGGTACCTCATCGTACAAAATTGTATTGTATGCTTAGTTACGGGACTAAACCAACGTATTGGTATGATATTGAAGTATATCATCAAGGCTCTTATCCTAGATGTGGTCAACTACGCTCATGGATTGCTAAAGAGGATGGAATTTGGTTTACAAGAAGATATCATAGCCCGCCAGGACATGTTCTCAATTGGAAAATCAAGTAACAATTATGTATGTGGTTTTTGATTTTTGTTTGGTGTCATATGTATTATGCTGTCAAAGTGAATTAAGTCATCGATCTGATTTGCAAATGTTGAAATAAAATATGTGGTTCGATACACATAGCCGCTTATCTCCTTCTCAATTTAAATCTTTATCCGAAATATTCAAATTCTTTGGATTTTGTGATGCATTATTTGTAAAACAGTTTTTTGGTGAATATAACTTTATATTTATAAAAAAAAAGAAAAGAAATAAAATATGAGTTCATTTGATGTCTATGTATTAAAACTAATCTTTCCTGAAAACTCCAAGGGCTGGAGTTTTTTTTTTTTTTTGTTTCATGGCATTTACACACAAGGCGACATTTAATACATATAAACCAACTCAATACAAATAATAAAGGCCAGAATCTACTTATAAATCATTTTAGTTTTTTTTTTTTTTTTTTTTTTTTTTTTTTTTTGTCAACAGCTATATTAGATTGGCTTAAATAATCCAATTTTGTGGAAAATTGTTTACATAAGTGATAAGATGCGGCTGGGTACGAACAGTTCGAGCCAGTTTATCCGCTTTCACATTCGCATTTCGAGAAACTAAAGATAATGAAAATACATCAAACTCCTCCTTGTCGCTCTGAATCGCCTCTAAGTATGTTGCAAACGCTGGCCACTCGTGCGGGGAAGACACCATCTTCACCAGGTCTGAGCAGTCTGTAAGGAAAGCTACTTCTCTCTTGTCTTGGCCGATCATGCATCTCATCGCCCAAATTAACGCTTCTACCTCTGTGTGTAGCGAGGTTAAGCTTCTTCGAAGATTAGCAGCTCCCATCTCTTGCGTTCCATCATTCGTGTTTGGACAAAACCATCCTAGCCCTGAAAATTGATCACTCTCTTTCCAAGACCCATCGATATAACACCGTAGTCCGTTGCGGAATTGCCTAGGTTCGTCCCATCTGTTGTGTAAGTGGGTATTCCCAACCACTGATTCCGAAACACCGTCCTGGATTTCCACCTGAGCTAGCTGCCAAGCTTGCTCTTCATTCTCTGCTACCCGTAAAATCTCGGGAGGACTTTGATCTACGTTATTATAAACTTTATCATTTCTAGCTTTCCATAAATACCAAAGAATCCATGGGAACGTAGCGTTGTAATCATCCGGTGGAATTCGCCAAAATAAATAATCCGTATTAGCATATAATGACCGTAACGGAAAAACATATGGGGGCGTTGGAATCTTAGATAAAGCCCATGTTTGGCGTGCAGGTGGACATTCAAAAAGAACATGATTAATTGTCTCTTCGGAATCCCCACATCTATCACAACCTATATCGCAATTCACCCCGCGTTTCCGAAGATTTGATGTAACCGAAACACACCCAGTTAAAACTTGCCACATAAAATGCCTCAATTTCGGAGGGCATTTTATCTTCCATGTAAAAGCCTTTAAAGGTTTAATATCTGGTCCAAAAACACCTGCATTAGAATCCTTTGTATTTTCAAGTCTAGCTGTATGATAACCTGATTTAACCGTGTATATACCAGACTTTGTAAAATGCCATCCCATAACATCTGGGTTTGAAAGCTTCCCTAAGGGAATAACATTAATCAGCTGAACATCCTCCGGATCAACGATTGCGCTTAAACTATCTATGTTCCATGAATTTGTCCTCGTATCGATAAGATTTTTAACTTGAAGTAAAGGGTCTGAAAATGAACCATTACTTTTTGCTGGTCTCGGGAATTGAGCAGGAATCCATGGGTCCTTCCATATTAAATCATTTTAGTTTAATATATTTCTTCTTGAAGGAATGGAATAAAAAAAATCATCTAAATTTTATAGAAGCAATCAATATGATTTTGAGGTTTGTAAGAAAAAAGCTGATAGATTTTAGAGAAATACCCTAACTTAAAGATCATTAAACTAAGCTTTTGTCCCAGAAACACTATCACTAGGTTTTTAACACTAATCAAATGAGTATTTTTTCCAAAACACTAATACATTAATAATTGTATTAACTTATCAATATATATATATACATTATATAAATTTATATATGAATTACTATGATATATATATTTTAAATATTATATGTAAAAATTTGATGAAATATGACTCTATTATTCGAAAAAAGTTTGTGTTGTTTTTTGAAACTTAATAATTGTTTCTCTACTTGTAATTAGTTTTTAAAAGATATTGTTTATAAAGAAAAAAATTATTTTTAGATAGAAATTTCTTTAAAATTACAAAATTAGTAAAATCTCTCTATAAATTAATAATTATTAATTTATCGATAAATTAATACCTCTCTAAATTAATAAAATTTCATGGTCCCAACATTATTAATTTATAGAGGTTATACTGTATATGTTAGTGGTATTTTTGGAAAAAAAATCTAATATATATAGTAATAATTCTTTAAACAAAAGATAACAAATATTATTCTTTTTATTTATTTTTCTCGCTTTTCATTGTTCTTTGTGTTTTTTTTTGCTTAGTTAATTTCTTTTCTTGGTTTATTTCTTTCTTCTTTGTGCTTCTTTCTTCTTTGAATTCCGTTTTCTTTATTTTCCTTTTATTTCATCAGGAAACGAATCTGTTACAGTAAAATGATCGATTTCCACAATCCAACCCTTCTTATCTTCGACAACTCCCATTTGAATATTGGTTAATATCAAGTGAAGCTACATAGACAATGCTTCTTCTTGGGAAAAGAGCGTTTTTCAACCCGAATAAATTGCAAAATGCGTTTTTATACCTCAACAAATATACAATGCCGTTTTCAACCTCAACGCTAAAATAATTCAAATAAACTACCGAGACTATTAAATTTGAGCGTAAAACTACATTGACTTAAACAAAATTAGTCAACCATTTGTTTTCACTCACTTAAACGACACGATGACAACGAGGAGTAACGTTGTTTTGGTCATTTGAGTCCATAAACTCAACACGGTGACAACGAGGTGTTGTTTTATCTTTACCAGTGATATTTTATCTTAATCAAACATCATCGTTTTGTTGATTTTATGGATATAAATGACCAAAATGACGTCGTTCAGTTCAATTTATGGATTCAAATGATCAAAACGACGTTATTTGATGAAAATAAAATAATAGCTCGTCGCCATCGTGATTAAACTTTTTGTACTACAAGTCTACAAGCTTCAAATACAAGGTGTCCGGTGTCTATGTACAAGTTAAAGAGTTTAAGAAATTGTATTATTGATTCATATGGAGATTAGAAATATTATACCGAATCTAAATCAAGATTAGGATGCTAAAGAACTACAAAATTTTGCTTTAGCTAAAGAGATATGAATTATTCTCCATATGCAATTTACCGAAAGGAGTATTAAAAATTGTATGGTTCAACCCACTCTTTTAAAAGCAAACGTAGAAATTCGTGTCTTTTATCAAAAAAATGTTTAGGTCTAACTTTGTTAGTAGTATTTGAATTTTGGATTGTTGAATTTGAAAAAAAAAACGTACACGCGGACTTGCGTCACACGCAAGCGATGTGGAGAAAGATAACCGTAACGATTCTTTATTGATAATTTACAACAAGTTGAACAAATGATAGTTTGGCCGAGTGGTCTAAGGCGCCAGATTTAGGCTCTGGTCCGAAAGGGCGTGGGTTCAAATCCCACAGCTGTCATATCTTCTTTTACTTCTTTTCTGCAAAACAACCCTCTAAGTCAATTTCGTTTGCAAATTTACCCTCCAAGTCTGAATTATGCAAGTCAACCCCACAATCTCAAAAGTCACCCGCAATACAACCCTCCCGTGTAGCGATGACGTGGCACCCGATAATTCCGTTTAAAAACATAAGGGGTTTTTGCAGAAAAACCCTCCATGTAATTTTTTTTTGCAAGACAAACTTCCATGTCAAATAAATGCATATCAAACCACAATCTCAAAAGTCACATGCAGTATAGCTCTTCCGTGTATCGATGACGTGGCAATAGATAACTCATTTTATGTAATGTACAAGTATCATGCATCTCGAGGCTCAACTTGGTTAATTCCTCCATCATAGCCTCATCCCACTATTTCCATATGTGGCATGCCCGAGTCTATCAAAATTTAACCAAAACTTCAACCAAAATTCAAATTTTTATATGAATCACTTAAAATTCAACTAAAATTCAACCAAGATTCAACCAAGATTTCCGATTATGTAAAAAACAATTCAACAATCACTTACATCAAAATTTGACATGTGTAGAATACTTTTCCCGGATTCGTCGTTGTCCGAAAAGATTATGGAAGGCTATTCTACACATGTCAAAATTTTGATGTAAGTGTTTGTTGAATTGTTTTCTACATGATCAGAAATCTTGGTTGAATCTTGATAGACCGGGGCATATCACTTATGGAAATGGTGGGATGAGGTTATGATGGAAGAATTAACCAATTTGAGGCTCGAGATGCATGATACTCCTACATACTACATCACATAAAATAAGTTATCGATTGTCACGTTATCGATATACGGAAGACCTATATTGTAGGTGACTTTTGAGATTGTGGTTTGACATGCATTTATTTGACATGGAGGTTTGTTTTGCAAAAAAAAATTACATGCATGGAGGATTTTTTTGCAAAAATCCCTTATATTTTCAAACGGAGTTATCGGGTGCCACGTCATCGCTACACGGGAGGGTTGTATTGCGGGTGACTTTTGAGATTGTGGGGTTGACTTGCATAATTCAGACTTGGAGGGAAAACTTGCAAACGAAATTAACTTAGAGAGTTGTTTTGCAGAACCCTTTTTAGTTCAACACATCTTTTTAATTTTTAATTTGCCTCTCTTATTGAACGATGTCGTCTAGGAAGTTCAAACTGTGATCATTCTTAAGAGTCTTCATTATTACAAGTCACATGAAAAAAAAAGTCCTAAGAAAAACCAACACATGAGAAGAGGAAAATACACGTTGATCATCAACTTTCTAAACTTCTTCTCTCAACCTTGACAGCGATCGATCTCCACCATCCAACCTTTCTTATCTTCAACAACCCCCATCTGAATATTGGTTAACATCGAGTGAAGCTTCGTTGACAATGCCGCTTCTCCTGTCCTGTATTTTACCCTGTGGTCAAAGATAGATATGAACCAACATCAACATTTAAGATTTAAGATTTGATGAAAGGGTCTTTAATTTATTATGTTTTTAGAAAAAGTTAATCACTTCTTGTCAAGGAAGGTCACAGTTTCAACAGCTTTAACGACCACTGCAGTCCCTGTGCAGAAAACTTCTTCTGCCTCTAGTAGCTCATCAACAGAAACATCACGTTCTTCAACCTGTGATACATTGTGAATTACACTCTGCAAATCTTGACTTCGTGAGAATGTCTATAGATGAAAGAGGAGGTGGAACCTGGTATCCAATATCACGAGCTAGCTCACTAATGCTTTTCCTCGTGACTCCAGGTAAAATGGTTCCTGAAGTTGGTGGAGTGGACACAATGTTTCCCTAAACAATGAATGATAACTAATGAGTTTACGCATAAGAATCTAAAAGGTTGAAACTTTCTATATTCTGTGTGATAAATGTTGAAACTCTTTACTTTGAGAATGAAGATGTTACAAGCAGTAAGCTCTTCGATGTTTCTACCAGTTGCCGCGTCCAGGAACAAGACATCAGAGAAACCCGCTGACTTTGCTTCGAACAACGATTTCACAACCTTTTAAAATTTATACAAGAAGATATCAGAGAACTAGATATTTCATTAACCTGTTTCCATGGAAGACATATATATGATATTTGTATTTCTGGTGTCTTTTTACTTACAGGAGAATAATTTGTGCAGCTCTTGACACCACCCGTTCCACCTGAATGGGCTCGGTGAGACGTATGATCTACTTTGAGGTTCAAGCCTGAGCTTACCTACAAGACAGACAAACTAGTTAACTGTCTCAACTTTAAAGAGTCTTAAGGCAGAGTCTTTGAAACAAAAACATAACAAACAAAATAACCTTATGGTAATCTCCTACGGGAGATGCATATATGAGAAACGTGTACTCAGGTGCTGGAGCTACTCCAAGGATAACACCACTCCCTATTAGCAGAGGCCTAATATACAAAGTTCCTTTACCCGGAGGAGGAACCTAATTAAACCCAAAAACCATTACAGTACTCTTTAGCAGCAACTCCTAAAGATGAGAGTAAACAATGATGGAGAACCACATCAAATGGAACTAGAGATACAACGGTCCAACAGTCCATACCCATTTCTTGTTGGCAAGCACAGTTTGCTTAACAGCCTCGACAAAATGCTCCAGAGAAGGAGGTGTCATACAAAGCCTCTCCGCACCAGTTTGCATGCGAAGAGCGTTTTGGTCAGGCCGGAAAATCCTAATCCGGTCGTCCTCTGTCCTGTAAGCTTTGAGACCTTCAAATAGTCCCTACAAAGCCAAACCAATACGCTAAAGTTTTAAGCTTTTGCTGACTTTTACACTCAATTCAAACAATTTCCTAATCCTGTTCGCATTTGGATTAAAAGGCTTCTAATTTCTTAATCATGTTTCTAATAGACCCAAAGTTCCAACAATCTGTGAGATTTGGCAGGCTTGTACAACCAGACAAAGCAAATTAACATTTAATCTGGTGAAGTTAGAGCCACAATGGTCCTCAAAACATACCTGACCATAATTGAGAATCGGAGAACAAGGGCTAATTGAAATATCGCCATAAGGAACAATCTTTCCTTGTGAAAAGCTCTCTCCTTGTTTGCATTTGGCTACATACATATAATCTATTGGAGTCAGAGCGAATCCAAGCTCTTCCCATTTCACATTCGCATATTTTTCATCCGTTTCACTGTTTTGATTTCAATGCAAAAATGAATTTAAATGAACAAACACGAGATACCCCAGAGATCAGGGGATTCTAATAACTAAAATCTGTTTATTTTTTCTTTCTCATTTGTCATAAAAAGAAAGATGAGACCTTTGGTTTACCTAGTAGTAGTACGAAGAGGTGATGAAGAAGGAGCCATAGATGACGGAGAGAAATAGAGTAGTGAAGTGAAGAAGCAGAGAGGAGGAGAGGCGTGGAGTGGTCACGTGGTTTTAGGAGCGTCGTTTTATAGTGTGACAACAAACAAACCCTTTTGAGTTTTGGTTCCTTCTCCATCTTATTTTTTTTTTAAGTATTTTTTGTTGATTCGAATATAACAAATAAATTGTAGAATAAGAATCTTCAACTATTTCTCGAGCCCGATGGCTAAAGAAGTATTATTATTTAGCTAAAGTGGCCGCTCTTTGTTGAAAAAAACGTGACCGGTCTTTACTTTATTGATATCTCCCAATACATTTTTCCTTATTTTATGTAACTAGATTGTGTACCGGCGTGTTGCGCGAGACTTAATATAAAACTTTTATTCTTTAAATATAAATATAATCAATTAAATTTTAAAATATTTTACTTTATTTATGTGCATTATCTTTTTAAAGTAGTATAATTTTTTTCACACTTTTTACTGTAATTTTTCTCGTTATCTTCTATGATTCACTCGTCGTCTCCCGGCATATACTCTCTTTTCTCCTTAGATCGTATCTATTTTCTTCTTCATATCTTTCACTATTCAATTTCTTTATAAGTTTCATGATCTTTTTATTAAAGTGAATATCGGTAACAGAAATTTGGGGACATGTTTGTTATAAGATTTCTTGACCATGTTTTGGTGCATCTAAAATTGCTTTATAGACTGGAATTAAGGTAACTGACTGGAATTAAGGTTGCAAAACGAAGTCCTCCTATCTCTCATTTGCTTTTTGCGGATGATAGTCTCTTTTTCTGTAAAGCAGAATCTGAGGAGTGTAAAACGGTGATGGATATTATTGAAAATTATGGTAAAGCTTCTGGACAAGAAATAAATTATGATAAATCGTCGGTCTTATTTGGCAAGCGTGTAGCAAACCAAAAAAAAGAGGAATTGAAACAACACCTTCGCATTACTAAAGAAGGTGGAATGGGTTCTTATCTAGGAATACCAGAGAGCCTAGGCGGCTCAAAAAGCAAAATCTTTAATTACATACGGGAAAGACTTAATGAACGAATTAATGGCTGGTCAGCTAAATATCTGTCAAAAGGCGGGAAAGAGACACTGATCAAATCTGTTGCCTTGGCGCTTCCAACCTATGTTATGTCTTGTTTTAAACTCCCTCAAGAGCTAACATCTAAGCTAACAAGTGCAATATCTAATTATTGGTGGAGTTCTAATGGGAAGGACCGTGGTATCCATTGGATAGCATGGGAGAAATTGTGTATGGATAAAGAAAAAGGAGGTCTAAGTTTTCATTCTCTAGATACCTTTAATGATGCCATGTTGGCTAAACAATATTGGAGATTAATCCAATACCCAGATTCTTTAGTAGCGCGAGTGCTAAAAGGTAGATATTTCAGGAATGTTCATCCTTTAAATGCAAAAAAACCGAACTCTCCATCGTTTGGATGGAAGAGTATTTTTTTTTCGTCGAAAAGGATTGTCGAAATGGGTGCAAGATGGTCACTAGGTTCAGGTTTCAACATATCGGTTTGGCGAGATCCTTGGATTCCAGACGATAATCCAAGGCCCGCAAGGGGGAGGGGAAATTTATTACTCCCAAGTCTGATGGTTAACCATTTAATTAATCCGGTTACTAAAGAATGGCACCTTCCTCTTCTACAAGAAGTTTTGGATCCGCTGGATATACAAATCATTAGAGGAATGACTATTAGTCAGATTTATAGGCCAGATAGGCTTATTTGGCATTATACAAATTCCGGGAAATATACAGTAAAGTCTGGTTATCGACTAGCTCGACAGATGTGTGAGACGGTAGAATGGGGACCAAATTTTAAAATCCTACAAGCTCAAGCGTGGAAAGTCAAAGCTCCTCCGAAAATAAAACATTTCTTATGGCAAATCGCTTCAGGATCTTTGGCAGTTACATCAAAATTAATACAGCGAGGGATTAGCTGTGACACTATTTGTAAAAGGTGTGAGCTGGCAGAGGAAACTATAAATCATGCTTTATTTGTGTGTTCTCATTCTCTGAAAATATGGGAATTATCCGGGGTGCCTTTGGTTCCAGGTTGTTTTCCTCTAAGTTCGGAACTTTCAAATCTAGATTATCTTTATTGGAGGATACCACCTCCTCGAGATGGGGGGGAAAAACAAATTGTTATGCCTGGATTTTGTGGTTCATATGGAAAGACAGGAATAAAAAAGTTTTTAAAGGAATACAATCAGATCCTACAGATATTTTAAATCACGCCTTGAGTGAGAAATTACTGTGGGAAAAAGCTCAAATGGAACCGATCGACAATATTACATTTACGGAATTTTATGAACCCCCAAACCAATCATTACGATGTCGGTTTGATGGTTCATGGAAAGCTACGGATCCAACAATGGGTTTAGGTTGGTGGTGTTTTCAGGGAACTGCTCAAACTATACTGCTTGGTGCAAAATGCCTTAGGAGATCGCCCTCACCCCTTCATTCGGAAATGGAAGCTTTAATTTGGGCCATGAAGAATATCCTTTCAAGAAGGATTGCTTGTCAGGCGTTTGAATCAGATTGCTCAGAATTGGTCTCGATGGTACAGTCACCTGACGAATGGCCAGCTTTCTCCAACCTTCTAGACGAGTTTGGTTTGCTACGTGTTTCCTTTCCCTCTTTCTCACTTTCCCTTATTTCTCGTTCTTGTAATTTAAAAGCGGACTGCTTAGCGCGCTCTTCTAGACTTTTATTTTCAGAAGCTACTTTTGTAAACATTTCTCCTCCTAGTTGGGCAACCAACCAAGGAACTTTTTAATAAATGTGTGGTTGACAAAAAAAAAAAAAAAATTGCTTTATAGACAACAAATCTCATATATGGACTCATTCGTACATACAAACATAGAATTTCAACATAAAATTTTGCACTTTATCTTAGCCATTTGAAAAAAACAAAATTCTCCTTCTACATATATAACTTAACGTATATTATGATTTTCAGATAGTATTCTTAATGTTGACTTCTCTAAAAATTATTCTAACATAAAATACATTTATTTTTTTGGATAAACAAAATCCTTCTTATTTTTAATGAAAAACTCTTCAATCTACTATTACTATTCTAATTTCCAAATAGCATTCTCATATATTATTATTACACAGTTTTATAATTCTATAAGATTATTTTATTTGTATTTGTGATGTCTAGGATAGTTTTTTTGTTTTATTTCAAATCACTTTAGTTTTTTTCAATCTATGTTAATTTTCTAAACACTGATTAAGATTTCATATTTAGGTATTCATTTTTATAAAAAACAAAGCACCACTTTTTCATTTAGAAAACATTACTAATATAGAAAAATAACTATTTCTATTATCTTATAATTATAAATAATAATATGTCCTAAATCCTTCTTATTTTTTAATTGGTACTCAAATTTCGAATGTCTATTTTCATAAATGAATTGCTTTTTATTTTAAGTAAAAACTTTTAAATTTGGTATTTTTTTTAACTCTTATTTTCTTTACTCTACTAAATAATTGTAACTCTTAAAAATAATTATTGTACCATTAAAGTATAGATAAGTTTATTTTTTCCTATCTCTAACTATTTTAAAATATTCACTCATATGTTGAAATATAATTATATAATTATCTAATTTATATTTATCCAATCTCGATTCAAAATTTTTATAGTTTTTAAGTTTTATTTTTATTTTTATTTTTTCTATTTTCTCATAATATTTCATTTAATTTTTTGTCAATTATTGTTTATATTTAGTGTGTGAATTAATTTTAGTTTTAATATTTGTTTTAGTAAATAAATTATGTGGAGCCCACACAAAATTAAAATAGGATGACTTGGATGATGATGTGGACACCCTAGATGGAGAGACAACTCTCCCATTATATATATAGATGTCTAGGATAGTTTTTTTTGTTTTATTTCAAATCACTTTAGTTTTTTTCAATCTATGTTAATTTCCTAAACACTGATTAATATTTCATAATTAGGTATTCATTTTTATAAAAAACAAAGCACCACTTTTTAGTTTAGAAAACATTACTAATATAGAAAAATAACTATTTATATTATCTTATAATTATAAATAATAATATGTCCTAAATCCTTCTTATTTTTTAATTGGTACTCACATTTCGAATGTCTATTTTCAGAAATGAATTGCTTTTTATTTTAAGTAAAAACTTTTAAATTTGGTATTTTTTTTTGAACTCTTATTTTCTTTAATCTACTAAATAATTGTAACTCTTAAAAATAATTATTGTACCATTAAAGTATAGATAAGTTTATTTTTTCCTATCTCTAACTATTTTAAAATATTCACTCATATGTTGAAATATAATTATATAATTATCTAATTTATATTTATCCAATCTCGATTCAAAATTTTTATAGTTTAAGTTTTATTTTTATTTTTATTTTTCTGTTTTCTCATAATATTTCATTTAATGTTTTGTCAATTATTGTTTTTATTTAGTGTGTGAATTAATTTTAGTTTTAATATTTTTTTAGTAAATAAATTATGTGGAGCCCACACAAAATTAAAATAGGATGACTTGGATGATGATGTGGACACCCTAGATGGAGAGACAACTATCCCATTATATATATAGATTTGGTGATACATTGTACCAATTTTGTTTAATTTTGTAATCTGGATAATTCAAACTTTTACCATCCGATTATTTTCCTAAAATTTGTTTTAGTCTTTGATGACAAAATGTTTTATTATTAAAATTAAAAGCAGACAAATAAGATTTGTTATGAACAAATGCGGAATTATTACTGTTGATAGATCATAAATTTAGATCATTTTCTAAGAAGAAAAAGAAAGTTGCATCATAGTTGCAATGGACTGTCAGACAATCACTCACTTAATGTGACTGAGTTGATTTGCTTATCTACTACAGTCACATTTATGTCAACATGCTTGATGTCAAAGTAAATATATTTTTGCGTTTCCTTTATCATTTTTTGTTTGTTTTAGATTCTAAACCAGCTCCATAACTAGTATGATTTGTCTTGCAGAGACTTATAACTCCTGAAGAAAAATATATCATTTTGAGTAATCTTGATAGAATCCATGGAAGTATTGTTGCAAATAGTTTTGCATTTGTTAGCAATATGTCATGTTGCTAAGAAGCTTCACATAAGACGCACGTAAATAACCAAGTTGCTACAGATTTCAGGCTTTGGTGGCATGTGGTTATAGATTAAATAATTTACAAAATTAGACAACTTCAAACTGTATTGGTTCAATTTCAGTTTCAAAGTTTTTCAAAAGACAACTGGAACAACAATTTGCTAAGAATCAAGACATCTAGATAGTTTTATTTTTATGTAAAAGACAATTAGTGAACGCAAATACTTAAGATAGAAAGACAGAAAGTCTAGTCCACTTAAAAGTCTATGATACAGAATCCAAAACACACTAAAGTGATTAAAAATAAAAATAAACCGAGATTATAAGGAACTAAATATCTAATTAGCCAAGTACAGAATCCAAAACACACTAAAGTGATTAAAAATAAAAATAAACCGAGATTATAAGGAACTAAATATCTAATTAGCCAAGTACAGAATCCAAAACACACTAAAGTGATTAAAAATAAAAATAAACCGAGATTATAAGGAACTAAATATCTAATTAGCCAAGTACACATTTTTAAGATGTCAAAAAGATGCTAAAATTGAATATAAAAATATGAATACTTCTTTGTATAATAGGTTTTTTAAGATTCATCATCAAACTCATGTACAAAAATATGATGAGCCAAGAATTTATAGAATTATATCCATGTACAAAAGATTTGTATGCTCCTGAAGAACTTCGAAATGGACTAATCAAACAGATGAAAAATATGAACAACCCTACATATACAAAGGATCTATAGAATTTGATATATCTAGAAAAGATTGGTATGATCCTACTTTGAAAGTATTTTTTCAAACGGATCAAATACATGGCAAAACAATGATGTGTAAAAGCACATAACAATTCAAGACCGTCTTACATTATTTTCTTTCAGCTGTTTTTAAAATATTCATTTTTTTTTATCATCCAAAATTAATTAAAGCTCATAAAAGGCATTCTTGAGAAATATTGTTTACATATGTGATATGAAACGGTTATGTACGAATTTTTCGTGGCAAATTGTCCGATTTTACATTAGCACTACGAAAAATTAAAGATAAAGAGAAGATTGAGAATTCTTCCTTGTCGCTGTACAATTATTCATTTCATATAGTAGTATTGTAGTTAACTTTTTCAACATATGTTTTTAATAATCTGAAGAATTATAAACAAGACATATATATAATCTGAAGAATTATAAACCAGATATATATATATATATATATATATATATATATCACTTTAAGTAATGTGTTAGAGGTTTTTATTTGTTCTAGTTTAAGTGATGTTTTCAACTTTTTATGTAAAAGTTAAATGTTGAGAAAACATTACGTCTCGTCTATAATTTTTTTTTTTTTTTTTCTTTTTGTGTTGGATAAACCTAAGTGGGTAGGTATTCTCAGACATAGTGTGATATATATGGAGATCTTTAAACACAAAAACATTTTTTGCAAATTGGTTTATCATATTATCCCACAATCATTTTTTGCAAATTGGTTTATCATATTATCCCACAATCATCCCAAACACAAAATTGCAACATTGCGTCGATCATAAAAAAGAAGAAGAAGAAAAAAAAAAAAAAAAAAAAAAGAAGAAGAACATCTCACTATATTTTGGAAAGACAGCATGTGATGGAACATGTACACATCATGTTTTTTTCTTCTAAAGATTGGTACAAAATGAATCATTGTGTCGATCTAACCAACATGCATGCATGTTTTACGAAAGCTAATGATGATGGAACCTAATTCCACATGTCATAGCGGGCCCTGAGAAGTTGATGACTCCTAGTACGAATCACAATTGATCGACTAATTATTTGTTTATTAAGAAAAAGAATTCCTTTTCTACTTCTCTTGCTACCTTTTTAAGCACAATTTTTGAATTTTATAGCAAAATTGTCTTTTCTTCTTTCATGTCCACCATGGAGTTTGCAATATTAGGTTTTGCTAGGTCTTTAACACCGAGAACATAGCAAAACTTTTTTGCAGTTCTCCATTGTTTATTATGAAAACAATTTGATATATTTTTTTTTATATTTTGAATGCTCTTCTAAAATTTTAGATATTATAAAACGGTTAAAATCAACAAAAAAATAAATGTAGGAAAAAGTTTTATATCATATATTCATATTAGCTTTTGTGATGTATTTTTTTTATCAAATACGAAAAAGAAATTGCATAATCGAACTATGCTAATACATGTCCTCTATCCAAAACACATAGAATACGTAGATCTATGTCAACTATAATAATAAGCAACTAGAAATTATACTAAATGTAAAAGCATGTAAAAATTCATGAAAACCGTTTTACACTACTTTCTTTCAGCTATTTTCAAAATATTCATTTCATATGAGAGTATTGTACTTACTAGTTAGCTTTTTCAACATAAGTCATTAGTAATTTGAAGAACTACTATAAACAAGACATATATATAATTCCTCCGTATCACTTTTAGTGATGTTTTAGAGTTTTTTTTATTTGTTCTATTTCAAGTGATGTTTTTAAAATTTTTTAAGTAAAAATTAAATATATTAATACTTTTTGACCAATTAATATTTTTACGGTTTTTTTTAATATTGGTTGAATTAGTTGTAATTAATTATATTTTTATGTAAAAGAGGTAAAGTAAATGAGATTTTATGATTTCTAATTTTTGTACAAAAACTTTAAACATTATTTAAAATGAAATAAGTGAGTATCAAACATAATATTTAGAAAAATGAATATAGAAAACCCTGGCCCCTGAGTAACAAATAAAATTTCTTAAGACTGTACAATATATAGTTGTTGGGCTCATGTTGGGCTCAAAAAGATGTGGAGATTTAAAGTAAACCATGAATTTTAATCGTAATAAGCTTCTCCTCAAGAGAAGTCATCAGTCATCAAAGAAGGATCTCAATGAAAACAGAAAATTGCTTCTCTCTCTAATTTGTTCCTCTCCCTCTAAACTCTTCCTCCTGAATCCTTTCCTCAATTTCTCTGTTCATTTGTGAGATAAACCCGATCTCGGGTCTTATCAAGAAACTTCTCCCGAAGGTAGAAGAAGCTCACTCTCTGTTGCCTTTGTTCGGAACGAAATCTCACAAATTGGTTCTATGATCTGCGCGATTCGCGTCGTCTTCTCTCTGGATCTGAGTTTTTGTTGAAGTAAATTGATTGCCATTCGTTTGCTACTACTTTCTACCAATTTTATGTTTGTCTTGAATGCTTCAACTCCATCCAAGTCTAATTATCACCATTAATGGAAGGCATAGTTGTATTGGTTAAGAAACACAGCCATTGAAGCGATGCTATCATCAAGGTTTTCTTTTTTGGGGATCGGCAGTTCCAGTGAGGTCAATGACTCTGTGGGTATTTCTGGAAGCAAGATCAAACCATCTCTAACTGTGCAAACGGATAAAGATGTCTACAGGCCTGGAGATTCCATTTTTGTAACTATTGAGGTTGGTAATTCTCATGAGAACGGGGATAATCCCTCGATTTTGGTTGAAAAGCTTAGTTTTGAGGTGAAAGGACTAGAGAAATTGGACATTCAGTGGTTTTCTACTCAAAAGCCATCACCAGGAAGCAAAGGACGAAGAGGTATTTAACAAGCTTTTCACTGTATCTTCTGTCAGTTCATGGATATTTTATAAGAGTTGATGCGTTTTGGTAAATAGACCAAGCATACACACTATTAGAAGTAGGCTTGTATCTAGTTAACTTCTGTATGATAACTTGTGTGGGTGATCTGGGAAATAAAGAGATATGGTTGAGAAAATGGCAAAAAGGATAGAAGAAGAAAATCAAGGGGACGTAGCAGTAGATATTAGCATTGAAGTTATGCAATTATTCTTTTTATGTCTCGTTTACCTAAAAGAATTTCAGCCTTTCATGTTTCTTTCATTACAGACATTATTATGTAAATTGTATTCAACACGTCATGCTCACTTTACCATCTACTTGTAATTTTTATTGATGTGCGTTAATCATATATATTTCTTGGAAATTTCAGGTGAACATATCTTCCTAGACAGTTCAACACCATCTTTGATTTCAAATCAAATCCTATCCCCTGGTGCTAAGATGACATGTAATCTTGCCTAATTCCTTCTCTAATACTGTATGAACAATAACGTACACTATGCTTGATGCTGACAGCACATATACTAACGGCTAGGGCTTACAATGTCAACCTTTAAGCTGACAGGCTTCTTTGTTTGTAATTTTCATCTACAGTAATGGTTCGAGCTATACTCCCACAGATTATACCACCTTCTTATAAAGGTGCTACTTTACGTTACCTTTACTACATTAAGAGCACATTATGCGGAAGATGGATGGCGCTAGAAAACAGTCAGTTTTACAAAGACTCAACAAAAGATTTCATTGAAGTGGTTAGTTTACTTGACTTTTCGTGTTCTCTATAGGTGCTATATGTGCAAGACATTGTGTTTTGGTTACTCTGGTTGCTTGAACGCAATTTTTTTTTTCTATTCTCCTGTGTGGAAAACATATAAAGTGGGATAAACACAAACATTGTAGCTCTCTTGTGTTGCAACACGTCTTATGGTTCTTACTATAGTGGTAAGTCAGGCGGCATCCTTGGTTTTTAGTCTTCTTGATGCCTAATTGATGATAAAATCACACAACTTTATATGAGTCATGCAACATTCTTAGAGATGCATCAGGGTTTCTATGCAATATATGAAGTTGAAGCATGAGGTTTAAAGCGTAGCTTAGTCTAGATGTTCTTGGAAAACTTTTCACTTTTTCAGTGTTACATGTAGTTAGTTTTCTTTGGCCAATTTTTCACTGCTGTGAGTTTAGTGGTTCAGTAGTTGATTATAACATCTTTCTAATCAAGTATAATTGATGCTTTCTGGCATCAAAATAATCTTGTTCCCCAGAAATTGGATGCCTTGATTCTGGAGTGGGCTACGATATAATCATGGTTATATGTCATAACTGAAAGTCAAATTACATGCCTCCTATGGCCTGATGCTTGATAGAAAATACTAAGTAAATGCATTTTGTGATAGGCCTCTTATCTTTCTGAAATATAATATATTCCCCCTTTTCCACTTGTGTTTTGTAATTTACGTGCTGTTGGCATAAATTTGACTCCTGTAATCTTGTTATTTACCAACAGGAGACTCGAATACCATTACAAGTATGGGTAATTCAGAAGAACAATGGGCTGCTATTAGAGGAAGATCAAACCGATGGTAAGCTTTTTACTAAAATTTTGATTGGGAACTTTAAATCAGAAGTCAAACTCTGTTTATTTACAAGACAACAAGTTATAGGACGTCGGAAAGTTGTTTCCCCCCCCTTATTTTTGAATGACATTAGTGGTGCAACCTGATGGGGCTCTTGAAATTTTCTTTCAGGGATTGTTCCAACCAATACCATTCAGACAGACATATATTGGAAAGAGATGGATGGAGACTCAGAATGGGTATGGCATGCTCACAACTGTGGAATTCTACTGTTTATCATTTTTACTTTTGATTTGCAGTTGTTTTATACGTATTGGTTTCATTTGCATACTGGTCAACATGAGAACAATGAACAAAAATGCCCTTAATGCAGACTAGAGCAAATGACGCATATGATAGTGGTGAGGATGGATATGACAGTTCACGTGACGAGATCTCGTCTGTTTCTTCCTATCCCAACAAAAGCAATTTAAACAGAACGTTTGGCAGTTCATTGTCCTTGAATTCTGGACCGCGATTATCAATGAAAGACACATCATATGTTGAAGAACGTGTTGGATCGTCTCCAAAGATGATGCTTTCTCAGTTATCAGCTGCCGTGGTGTCTTATGATTCCGGAACCGGTTAGTGATTTATGTGCGAGTACATGCCTAAAACGGTATTTTAGTGGGGTCACTGAGAATAGGACCAGTTCATGTAGCCTCTCTGTTGTTTGGTGAAGAGATTAGAAAAGCTTATTTCGTTATGATAAGTGTTTGTGTCTTTAGAAGAAGACTGGTTTCAACTAATGCTGAACACAGTACTGTTCTCAAATACCAATAAACAATGGGTGGAAAGATGCTATTTCGAAAAATATTCCATCATCTATTTTGTTTATCAGCTCTATAATATTCGTGAGGAAGAGATTACTGAAGAATACTTCATGTTTTCTTTTTAGATGTCTCTTTGCCTCATAAATCATCAAATTCTGTGGTCCCGAGCCAACAGCCTAAGCAAACAAATGGTGCAGGAGCATCTATGTCGCCTGAAGCAGGAGCAAAAGAACCAGTTCCATGTAAACTACTCTTCATTTGTAGTCTTCGCTTGTATGTAGATTCTGCAAGTAGCTACTTATCCAGATGCAATCATTTCTTGCAGCAGAAGGATTTACAAGAGGAAGATCTTACAACATTAGAATGGATGACCAAGTCCTTCTTAGGTTTTCCCCCAAGAATGCCGACTCTACTTATTACTTCAGCGATACTGTAATTGGCTGTTTCATCTCTTCTCACATTCTTCTAAAATATTGCCTGCATCTTACAACTGTTTCCATGAATGGTAAATTTTTTTTTGCAGATAGGTGGAACTCTTACGTTCTTCCATGAAGAAGGAACCAGAAGATGCCTCGAGGTATATCCATACAAGACAAAACTTCTGGTGTACATTCTGCTATATCGAGGTCTATTGGTTCTGATGATCCATATCTGTTTCCAGGTCTCGGTTACTCTAGAAACTTTAGAGACAATAAACAGGAGATTTGTTCATCCATCAAGGAGAAATTCTCCAACGCTTACTAAGGTACAAATGCAGCGGAGTTTAATTTGAAGATGAATATTGTTTCTTTACTTTGTCTGCTGGATGCTATGTCCCTACAATTGCAATCTTACTACCCCATTTGTTTTTCCTCAAAAGGTCCAAAGCGATCACCATGAGGTGGTGGCAGACCTTATTCAAACCAGCTTTCTATTTTCAATTCCCACGGATGGTCCAATGTCGTTTTCTACGCCCCGTGTTTCTGTGCAATGGATTCTTCGGTTTGAGTTCCTAACTACTCCAAAGAGTGTGGACTTAAGCAGGTATTACTCCCAATACTCAAAACGGATTTCTACTGCAAAGATTCATTCTCTGGTTCAGTCTTTTGAAGTGCTCAAGTTGTTGAAGTCAGTTTCTGGTTCTGTTTTGTGGTAATTACAGGTACGAACATCCATTGTTAGTACCGGAACGGGAAAAAAGTGAATGGGTTCTTCCGATTACTGTACATGCACCGCCGCCTCGAACATCAGGTGCTCAAACCCGTGGAGATAAGTTTTTTGGTTTGGAGCCGTCTTGGATTCGTAGCTAAACCACGCTTTTGGTGAAAGATTCATTTTGGTAAATCATTTTTAGAAGAGTTTCTGGTCTCTGTCTAGCTCACCTCATGCAATAATTTGTTTTAATTTTTTTGCTCATTTTAAAATAACTTTTCAAGGGGAAATATATATACCACCAACCTATTTTGTTTAATTTTTATTTACTAGTTTACTAAAAAATAATATATTTTTATTTTAGCAGTGTTATGATAAACATCTTAAATCTTTAATCACAAATCTTATTTACGCGTTACTTTCAGTCAATTTCATCAGTTTTGGGAACATAATGGTTGTACTCAGAAATTATGAAAAACAAAATTGTAGAAAAGGGAGAGAAAATTAGGCCTGATGAATGAATTAATACCGCAAATCTAACAATCTTAAAACGACGATTAACACAATTCTTGGTAGTTTGTGAATCCGACTCTCTTTTCTTTTACCTATAGTAGAAAGTTTTCTTATTATCAAAATCTCGAATCTCTGTATACAATCTCTATTTTAACAGGATGATTAACAATTATTAGTGTTCAAGCTAGTAAAACTGTTTTATGCGAATCAGTATCAATACAAGAATCTCTACAAGCCTGACACATCAGCATTTTGGACTCTTCTCAGGCTGACACCTCATTAAAATCATCATCCAATAAAAACATTTCGATTAATACACATCACATCGATTAACATTTCGATTAAAACACATTATTTTAAAAAAACAAATTAATACATGCATACACAAAATGATTTTATATTCATTGATAATGCTAAAAAAATTTCTAATTTGTTTAATAATTCAATATCTACAAAAAAAAAAACTATCCTTTTCTTTTTTAAAAATTTGTTTGACATCAAATGATTTTTAGAGAACAACATGCATGAAGTGAATTTAACAAGTAGTTTACGCAGCGTGTTGCTTTTATAAATTAATTTTGTTTTAATATAAGTTTTTAAGGTAAAAATGTTATAGGTTCTTCAGATATTATTTTACTTTTGCTCGTATTTTAATAGTTTTATTTTATTAGTTTATATATGCATACACTAATAAATAATTTTTATATCTTACTTTTACAAAAATGTACCGTGTAGTTAATATTTGTATTTGTTTGTTGTTATATAATGTTTTTGTATATGTTTAACTTTTTAGAAATGTTAGATTTGTTTTTATATTGTGATATATGTATATATGTTTCAGTAAATATTATACTCCAAAAACCTTAGATTATTTTTGTTAAAATTATTTGTGGTACATAAGCACAAATTAGAATCATAGTTTATTCATAAGAGTTTACGATTGCTATATTGGTTTACGTTTTATTTTTTTTCAATTCAAAAAATTCACAGCAGTAAAGAACATTACACTCTTAGGATTGTAATCTCACACTTGTTCTATTATCCCGTCTTGTTACTTCAAGATGTATAGTCATATTTGAATCTCTATGTTCCTCTTATACATGTATCTTGCTTCACTTAATCATCTGCATATAAAGCGCAAAGTTTTGTTTGTTTCTGTTCAAAAATGAAATCCCTTAAGGGAAAAATGGTCAAATTATGCATTTAGGTTACACAATGATAAAATACTATTAGTATATCCCAAATTTCTCCGTCTATCCAACGCAAAGATTTAGATGTATGAGAGTTTTACTAGATTGAAGTTGTTGTTGTAATATTTATCTTATACTACTATTTTAAAAAAAAAAATGATCAAACTAGAACAAAAAAAGAGAGTTTCTCTCTCTTCTCTCTCTCAAATCTTTTAGAGAGAGAAACTCTCTTACAAGTTTTTCGTTCATCCGTCCGGTTAATTCCGGCAAAGCCGTCCGGTGTGTTATCCGGCATCCGTCCGATATCTATCGGCTAATATAGCGATAGTTGATCGGCTTTTGTCTAGCATCGATCGGCTTTTTTAGGGACGATGGCTAGCTTTGTTTTCTCTCCGGCGTTTGTCCGGTTTCTAATCACGGTTACGTTTGTGCCGTTGATTGTTTTTAGTTTACGGCTCTTTGGATCTGTGTTGGTGGTGGCGTTTGTGGCGATTCTTCGTTCAAAAGTGTCTCTTTTCCGACTTGTCCTGGAGCATGCGGTTTGCGAAAACCATTTTAGAAATTTGCGACTTCAGTTGAAGATATAAAGCAATTTCCTCAGCTTATTACGATTTTCTTTAGCTGTTTCTTGTCTTTGAGCTTCGATTGGTTTGGTCAACAGTTTGGATTAATCAGATTTCTTATTCTCTGTTACCCGTCGGGTCTCAAAATTATTTTTGATGATTCCTACAAAGGGTCGAGTTTAATTGATCTGTATTTTATCCTTATGATGTTTTGCACTTGCCGGTGAAAAACAGACGAATCTATCTTTGATTTCATCTTGATGATAGTTTCATTCATCGGAAGAATCGGTGGCTCCGACGGCGAAGGATGATGATGGAAATCTTTCAGTTGCTCATTTTACGCGTGTCATTGACACGTGTCTTTGAGTGGATTTATTTGACTCGATCTTCTTCTTAAGCGGCGCAATATTGGGCTCCTGTTGGGCTTTAGTTGTTTTCGTAACATGTTGTTTTTGTTGGGTTTTTGCCTTTGCTACTGTTTGTTATGTTTCTTCTAATAAAATCACTTATGAGAAAAAAAAGTGCCTTGTATTTTAGTTGAATAGTAAATTAATACGTTTGTATTCGTAGTTGCAGCTATATATTGTAGGCGCACGGGTGGGTAGTTGCAGCTATATATACCAACGGTTACCAAATACGTTTTCTGCAATTTTTAACCTTCCATTATTAGAAATACAAGCTTGATACAAAACAAAAATAGTAGGTAAGAAAAAACAAACCAATGGGCTTAAAAGTGGATATAAAAAGCCCAAATGAGGCCTAAACGACAAAGAAGGCCCATATAATCATCCCATTTTCACCCACCATTGTTTCCGTTGGAAGCTCTATGAAAAAACTCCCTTCGAATTCTCCGTCTCTTTCTCTCTCTCTCGAGATCGAATCGGCAATGGCTGCTTCCAGCTCCGTTTTCACAACCTCTCCGTCGCGAAATCTTTCTCTTATCCGTCTTCATCAGTCGCTATCTCCACCGTTGATCAGATCCAGCTCCGTCGCGTTTCGTCCCAAACGACGATCCAGCTCGCTCGTCTTGTGCTCCACTGATGAATCAAAGAGCAACACAGAGAAAGAGATCCCAATTGAACTCAGTAATTTCCCTCTCATCGCACTCTGATTTACAAATCAATTTTTCAACTTTTATAAATTGTCAAATCTCGAAATTTTCAGGGTACGAGGCGTTTCCGACAGTGATGGACATCAATAAGATACAAGAGATTTTGCCTCACAGGTGAATTTTTTTCTAAAAGCATTGTTCTTTTTATAGCTGAAGTTTGCGTTGTTGTGATCCAATTTTTCAAATCTGAATTTTGTTGTGTAGATTCCCATTTCTGTTAGTGGATAGAGTGATAGAGTACACAGCTGATGTATCTGCGGTAGCTATTAAAAACGTTACCATTAATGACAATTTCTTTCCTGGGCATTTTCCTGAGAGACCTATAATGCCTGGAGTTCTCATGGTTGAGGTAATTGCAATGCCCTCTTCTCTCTTCTTCTTACTCCAAAAGGTTCAGTCTTTTTGCATGTATTCATAGTTCATGAGAAGCTATTTGAGCTTAGACATGTAAGTTTCCTCTGTTTCTTGCTTGCTGAAGTAGAATGCTTGGTTGGTTAGTTGGTTTTGAATTGTGATGTTGGGGAATAGAATGAGGGTGAAATTTGTGTTCCGGTTCAAGTTTTGAGGGAAGTTAAGGTGAAGGCTTTTGCTCTAAGTTTCAGTTATAAGGGTGGGTTAATAGAGTTCTCTAAAGCTTGAAATTTAAGAATGGGACTGGATTTGAGTTTAAGATAAGCTTGTCTATAGGATATCTTGGATGATAGCTTTATGCTGTGATATAACTAGTTAAACCTAAATCTTTCTAGTAAAAAGTAAAAACTAAAACCTCTTATTAATAGAAAATCTCCAAAATTGGAAAAAAAATTCCTCAATCTTTAATATTGCTCTAAAGAAAATAGAAAATTGGAAAGAAAAAAAAACCTAAATCTTTACTTGTTCTTTAATTAAATACAACTTTGAGAGGAAACAAAAAAACCCCTATATCTTTCAGTCGTCTCTGCGCTCCATCTTTCTCTCGTTGCACTAAGCTTCTCTCTCTCTCGCGGACGGTGATTATTAACCACTGGCTCATTCTCTGTCAAATCTCCGATTGCTTTCGCGCTTCGTGATTCCTGCAAGTTCATCTCCAAGGTATTATGCAAATCGCTTCTCTTTTGTTTTTTCTATAAGAAGAAATTGCTCTTGTTGTTTCGATCACTCATCTTTCCGCAAGAACTGAGGTTTGTTTTGGTTTGGTCAGGCACTGTCACTTAATGGCATCTGAATCCAATAGCTTCAAGAAAAGAGATCGTCTACTTGAAATTGAGGTAGCGGTTCGAAAGTGGTGGGAGGATGAGGATGTTTTCAGGGCTGAATCTCGTGATCATATTCCAAAGCCAGGAGAAAAGTTCTTCTCCACTTTCCCTTTTCCCTATATGAATGGTTATCTTCACATTGGGCATGCCTTCTCCCTCTCCAAGGTTGATTTTGCTTCTGCTTACCATAGACTTAGAGGTGCCAATGTGCTTCTTCCTTTTGGTTTCCACTGTACTGGTATGCCAATTAAGGCTTCCGCGGATAAGCTTTCTCGTGAGATCCAACAGTTTGGAAACCCTCCTGTCTTCCCTGATAACCAAGCTCCTCAAGTTCAGGAGGAGAGCAGTGATATACCGGTGGCTTTACCGGGTCAGTTCAAGGGAAAGAAGTCTAAGGTGGCTGCAAAATCTGGTGGACAAATTTATCAGTGGGAGATTATGCGCAGTTTTGGTCTTACTGACAGTGAGATTGCAAGATTTCAAGATCCATATGAATGGTTGTATTACTTTCCTCCTTTAGCTGTTGAAGATCTCAAGGCTTATGGATTGGGCTGTGATTGGAGACGGTCATTCGTGACTACTGATGTTAATCCCTTTTTCGATGCCTTTGTAAGGTGGCAGATGAGGAAGTTGAAATCTATGGGAAAAATTGTCAAAGACTGTAGGTATACAATATTCTCACCTTTAGATGGTCAGCCTTGTGCTGATCACGACCGTGCTACTGGTGAAGGTGTTCAGCCTCAAGAGTATACTCTCATAAAGATGGAAGTAGTGAAGCCATTTCCTCTGAAACTGGGTCCTTTGGAAGGAAAGAGAGTGTTTTTGGCTGCAGCTACGCTGAGGCCTGAGACCATGTATGGACAAACAAACGCTTGGGTACTGCCTGATGGGAAATATGGAGCTTATGAAATCAGTGAAACTGATGTCTTTATCCTTACTGAGAGATCTGCACTCAACCTTGCCTACCAGAACTTCTCAAAGATCCCTCAGAAGCCATCCTGCTTGGTCGAGTTGACCGGGTATGATCTGATTGGACTCCCTCTGAGGTCTCCTCTGTCAGTGAATGAGATCATCTATGCTCTGCCCATGTCAACGATTCTGACCAACAAAGGTACTGGTATTGTCACCAGCGTGCCTAGTGATGCCCCTGATGATTACATGGCTTTACATGAGTTAAAAACAAAGCCTGATAGTCGAGCAAAGTATGGTGTGAAAGATGAGTGGGTACCCTCTGATATCGTACCGATTATCAACATTCCAGAATTTGGGGATAAGGCTGCAGAAAAGGTCTGCTTAGATCTGAAAATTCAAAGTCCAAATGATAAGGACAAGCTTGTAGAAGCGAAGAGGTTGACTTACCTGAAAGGATTCACTGAAGGAACAATGCTTGTTGGAGAGTTTGTTGGTAGGAAAGTTCAAAAAATCAAGCCCATTATCAAGAAAAAGCTCATAGAGTCTAACGAGGCTATCATATACAGAGAACCTGAGAAGTCAGTGATGTCAAGATCCGGTGATGAATGTGTTGTGGCTCTTACAGATCAGTGGTACATAACGTACGGCGAAGCAGAATGGCGGAAAATGGCTGAGGAATGCTTATCAAAAATGAACCTCTACTCTGAAGAAACAAGGCATGGATTTGAGCACACTTTAAGCTGGCTCAATCAGTGGGCTTGCTCACGGTCTTTTGGTCTAGGAACTCGTATTCCTTGGGATGAACAGTTCCTTGTGGAATCCTTATCTGATTCATCACTTTATATGGCCTACTATACGGTTGCCCATATCTTTCACGACGGTGACATGTATAAAGGCAGCAAGTCGTTGATCCGTCCTGAGCAGATGAATGATGAAGTTTGGGAGTATCTCTTCTGTGATGGTCCGTATCCAAAATCAACCAATATTCCATCAGCTGTTTTAAGTAAGATGAAGCAGGAATTTGACTACTGGTACCCGCTAGATCTTCGAGTTTCAGGGAAGGATCTTATTCAGAATCATTTGACATTTTTCATCTACAACCACACTGCACTAATGGAGAGTCGTAACTGGCCACGTGGTATCAGATGTAATGGTCACATTATGCTCAATTCTGAGAAAATGTCAAAGTCCACTGGAAATTTCAGAACCCTGCGCCAGGCTATGGAAGAGTTCTCTGCCACTGCTACAAGGTTTTCTTTGGCTGATGCTGGTGATGGTGTTGACGATGCAAATTTTGTATTTGAAACTGCAAATGCTGCAATTTTGCGGCTGATGACTCAGTTCAAATGGATGGAAGATGTTCTGGCTGCTGAATCCTCTTTGAGAACCGGACCTCCATCTACATATGCTGATAAAGTGTTTGAGAATGACATGAACATTGCTATCAGATTGACTGAAAAAGCTTACAAAGATTGTTTGTTTAGGGAGGCACTTAAGAATGGGTTTTACGACTTACAAGCTGCTCGAGATGAGTATACACTCTCCTGTGGCAGTGACGGAAATATGAACCATGACTTGATACTGAACTTCATGGATGTGCAAACACGCCTCATTGAACCAATATGTCCTCAGTTTGCAGAATATATATGGAGGAAACTTTTGAAGAAGGAAGGTTCTGTGGTAACAGCAGGCTGGCCTACATCAAATGAGCCAGATTTGGTTCTCAAGAGTGCTAACAAATATTTGCAAGATTCTATTGTCCTAATGAGAAAGCTTCTACCAAAACAGCTCTTAGGTTCCAAGAAGGCTGCTAAGAAAGGTGCTCAAGTAGCAGCAGTGCCAGCGGGAAAGTTAAAAGGCCTAGTATATGTGAATGAGCAATTTGATGGATGGAGAGCTCACTGCCTCGAGATTCTGCAAAGCAAATTCAACCAACAAACCTGTCGTTTTGCCCCTGATGCAGAGATACGTGCAGAACTAAGTGAGATATTACAGAAGGAGGGACTAGCAGAAAACGTTTACATGCCTTTCGTTAAATTCAAGAAGAACGAGGCAATATCTATTGGCACTCAAGCTCTAAATTTGAGGCTGCCTTTTGGAGAGATTGAAGTCCTTGAGAGTAACAAGGACTTGATCAAGCGGCAAGTTGGTCTTGAAGAGGTTGAAGTATATTCTGCAAGTAAGCCTGATGATGTTTCAAAAGCTGGTCCACATGCTTCACTGCTGAAGAAGAATCCTCCTTCTCCGGGCAATCCAACCGCCATCTTTGTGGCCAGGTAAAAGCTAGTTATTTCATTACAATTGCTTCCTAATAGATGCAGCAGCATGGATACTCTTTTTGTTTCTTGTCAACTAATCTGAAATCTTTACTGCTCCAGCACAAGTGTCTCCCCTCCGGTCTAAAATTTCTGTGCCCATACGGAATCATCTCTCTCTGCATATCTTAATGTAAGTTACATCTCTTTCTCTTTGACATCCATCTCCATTCTTTTCTCTATATAGTTTATGGGTCTTTGTTTGTTGGATGTTATAGCTAAATCTGAATCTTACCTTGCATATAGTCTTCCTTGATCATTCAAAGAACTACTAGAAAGATCTTACTTTGGCAAAAGAGGTGGACAAAATGTGACTTGGATGTTATTGAGTTATTGTGGATATACACTAATAGGACGAGTTGCAAGTAATGCGATTGAGTTTTGTGATTGGTGTTTGTTGTCTTTCTAAAAAGTAAAAAAAAAGAAAGATTCATAATTAGGATCTGTGCATAATTTATGGTTTGTTAGTATCTGTGTTTGCTTTCTAAACTGATTTTGAGGATGAGACCAGTGTAGTTTATAACGTTTATTTTATAATCTTATTTCTAGCAAGGAATCTCCATTCTCCAGCATCTTCGTCTCTTACAGCTGCCAATTCCAAGGTGGTTTCTGATATAGCCGACTTAGTGACTTCTTCGCTCTAATAATTTGGCTGCTTATTTAAAAATACCAGACAATGATTTTTTTTAACTTATGCGGGTTGTATATATTACATTTTGCATATTCATGATAATGGGGAAACACTTGCTTTAATGAGTGTTGACATTGTATGATGCGTTTGAAATCTTTTTAACAGATGCTTATTTTGTTTTCATGTGACTGCTGATGCAATTTTTTGTCACATTGAGACAAATTCTTCACTCTGACCAATTAGATGAATACAAAAGAGTCATTATGTACAGTAAAGATTTTTAACAGTAAAGATTTTTGTATGTTAAAGTGATACAGTGCGTGTTCCATTATAGTTTACATCAAATTTTGAAAAATGATACCAAAAAGATATAGCACTGAGGGTTACAATATGATCACAAAGTAAAAGACAGATGAAAACACTTTGATCTACCAAAAAACTAACATTTTTCTTTAGAAGCCAAAAGGAGTCTTTGTCCTGCTCCCTCCTTCACCGTATTGCTCATTCCATTTTCTCAGCTCATTCATCGTCGTCGCATCGTACGCCACAGATGGGCTCACCTGCAAAATCACATCACCCATACATATGACAACAATAATCACATCTTTGTGGTTTAAATCAATCATCGATAATGCAAAAGGCAAAAAACGCAAAAACTCAAGATACATCTTGTTTCCTGGCATTGATGCAACTAAATTACCTTAGCTTTAGACTGAATGAAGTCATCCAAACTCAGCGACCGTAGACCAGGAGACGCTTCCGCTCTTGCACCCTAATGATTCAAACAAAGCAAATTATCAAGCTATGGAAGTGAGCAGCGTATGTTGTAATGCAATCTGGATTCTGTACCTTTTGTTCTTCTTGTAACAGTTCTTGAACAGGCCTGTACGCAGCAGCAATGCATAGATTCTGCAATATAAACCCACAAAAGAAACAAATAAGATTAAAGAAAGAACTTATAAGTGCCGTCACGAGCTGGGGATTAGAAAACAAATACCAACCTTCAGATCGCTACCGGAATAACCTTCAGTTTCCTTTGCAAGTTTGTCAAACTGGAAACCGGATTCCAGATTTTCTGGAGTTAGAAATATTTTCAGTATCTTTAACCGGTTTTTGGCATCTGGTAAGTCGACATATATCCTAGAATTCATAGGTAATAACAAGCTTTCAATTCAGATTCACAGTTTACCAATACTAGAAATACAAACTATCAATTTTGAAAAAGGCAAATCAAAGTCAAATCAGGTGTTACCGTCTTGGTAGACGACGAATGACAGCATCATCAAGATCAAAGGGACGGTTGGTGGCACCAAGAATGAGGATCCTTTGACTGTCTTTTGACCTGAGCCCGTCCCAAGCTGCCATGAACTCATTTCTCATTCTTCTGGTAGCTTCGTGCTCGGAAGAGCCACCACGAGCACCTAGCAGACTGTCGATCTACCAAACAAACAAAAATCCCCTTCAGTCACATTTACTCAGCATCAAATATTTACTACGAGCATCAAATAACTAAAATAGAAAGTGATAACCGTATTCAATCCAGTGAACTATCGACATAATAAAGAAATGAATTTTAGTTTTAGGTACAAAATTCTCACCTCATCAACAAAAATAATTACAGGTGCTAGCTTCGTGGCAAAGGAAAAGAGAGCCTTAGTGAGCTTCTCTGCATCTCCGAACCACTATGCCAAACAAGGAACAAAGACAAGACAGAGTCGGATCAGAATAAATTTTCTGGAAGACAATAATGGGAGTATCATAAATTATATATAGAAGTGTATCCTAAAAAAATACATATTCCCTAAGACAAGTGTACCAATACAGGCCCTAGGGGAGAAGACTGAAGCGTATTCATTAAGGTTAACTATTCTTCTTGATTAATATAAACATGCATACAAATAGACACAAAACATTGTCAACATAATCTATTTACCTTTGATGTAAGTGTTGAGCCAGTTATGCTAATGAAGTTTGCTCCAGCTTCAGTTGCAAGCGCCTTAGCGAGGAGCGTCTTACCCGTTCCAGGAGGACCAAAAAGCAATATTCCTTTACAGGGCTGAAAAAGGTCATGTCATCAGGAATATCAGCCAAATTGAACGGAAGTACCTGACCAAGAAAATAACGATATGTCCCAAACAGAATGCAATACCCGCAAGAGATTTCCACGGGAGAAAAGCTCTGGCCTTCTCATGGGAAGAATAACCAGCTCATTTAATGCCTTTTTAACGTCTTCGAGAGCCCCAATATCTTCAAATTTGACGCCTATTTCACCAGGAGCAACCACAGCCGAGACAAAATTTCTTTCATACTCATCCTTTGCAATATTCTGCAATACATTGTCTGTTAACATCATGGTTACTCAAATGTATCCAAGATCCATTTACCAGAATCCAAGGGCAGGAAATTAACCTTCAAGTTTTGCGAGGGCTTTAGGGAATTATCTTCTAATTTTCTTAACCTCGCAATTGATATCTCAAGGCTTGAAAAAAAGGAAAAAAAACGCAGTAAGATTAAAGAATAAAAAAAAATTACAGATCCACAAGCCACAATCACATGTACCTTTCACGAGGCAGAGACAAGCGACCTCCTTTAACCAATGGGTCTGGACAAGAAGCTAAATAGTGATTTTTGGCCCAGCCAATAGCTTTCTCTGCTTCTGCAAAAACAAAAGCCACAAGTTTCTGAGGTCTCTTCTTCATCACATAAATATTTTCATCTCAAAAAACAAGGGAAAAAGTCAGATGTTTGCAACAGCGAAAAAAAGCAGCAGATTTCAAACGTCAACCACAAGGAACTGTATCCATTCTCAACTAAATCTAATCAGAAGATTTACTAAACTTCTTTAAGAAAAAGTGAACAAGTAGTTCTCAAATGCTTGAGAATTTAAGATCTAAGAGTGTGCTCATAGGTGATAGGTAGCCCCTATTCTCAAATGTTTCTCATTAGTATCCTAACAACCCGATTCTAGCCTTCTAGGCATAGGAACGACTGCCATTATACATGACAGAGAGGAATTGCCAGTACAGAGAAAAGAAGTGTTTGCATTCTCAATCAGCAACTATAAATACAAACAAACCAAGTATTTTCATCCTGAGTTACGCACTTTGCTTTGTCAATATCACCCCATCGGTGTTCACTTGATACAAGTCTGTGCATAATAACTCATGTTCTTCAAGTGCCTGGGAAAGAGTACATTAAGGATGCAACAATTAGTGAAAACATTACACGTTCAACTAAATTTTTCTCATTGACATTTAATTTAGATCTACGTACCTTTAGCAACTCATTTATATTGCTCCGCGATATCACAATTCTCCTATCTTCTCCTAGTTGTTTCTTGAATAGTCTGAGGGTATCTTCCTCCTACACCAATATTTTACAGGAAGGAATCAAGTACTGTTTTGGCAATGTGGGTATATGCCTCCTACCTTTAACATCTATACTTGAAGAAACAACTAATGGAAGTAGCTTATCCCCTGCTAAGTAGGATAGCACGTGACAAATAAGCTTTGCAAAAGCATACATGGATCACAGATGGATATGTACCTCTTATATAGACTTTGAGAAGAGATATTATCCAAGCGACATAATCAGACTCGTTTATGTATCTCACTTAGGTATAACAATACATCTACTGCTCCTCATTCATTGTTTAGAGTCATGCATGAATAGTTCATTGTTAATTTGATAAAAACTTTTCAAAGACAGGCATACCTTCGGAGGATGTAGGCGCATAACATTAGTGAAAAGCTTGTATATCTCATTCTCCTCTGATTTTTTCCCTCCCGTGAATCCCTCAGTTAGGCCCTTCAAGGGAAGAGGCTGAAACACACAAAGGCAACAAGAAACTTTTTGATTAAGTTATAGTATCAAGAAGAGCATGACATCGCAAGGAATGCCATTTTAAAACGCAGATCGAGAAACCAAGCAAGAGTCATATCAAGGAGAATGGAAAGTTCAAATCCATATTTACAGTCCTGCACATGTTGCAAAAAATATGTAAAAAACGTGACTAATTTCACAGCGCCATTAGCTTGCACTTGTTGCAAAAAACGGGTGTTCAAGATGTGGAATAACTTGCAAGTCCTCATTTGACAGTTTTCATCAAGGGACAACCAAGGGATAAGAAAAATGTCCGCAACTCAGGCAAAGACAAGTGCATTACGATTTTTTTTATAAAAAAGTCACATATATCAGTAAAATGCTTTTTTGATGTTTAACTTACCAGCTTCACAAGTCGGCTAAAGTTTGGGAGTACCATCGTCTGTTTTCAGGAAAAAATAAATTTATTAATACAGTAATCAGGAACAAAGGCGGAACAATAACCAATGACAAGTGAGTGAGACATAATGACAGGCTTACGAATTTCTCTCTTTCTTTTGAGCCTGTTTCTATCTTGTTCTGCCCACAGATCATAACAATCGGACCTGATAGTTTATTAAACATTTCCTGAACTTTGTCTACAAATTCCTTTCGTCTCGTCTTAGGCACAGCTCTAGACAACCACTGTGACGAGTCTGGGAAATAGACTATAAGTGGTTGAATGGATTGCAAAACCTACAAAGACAGAAAAATAAAGGAATAAGTGTAGATAACAATCCAGAAACACTTTTCAGAAATAAAAATAGAGGAAGAATTGCAGGCATCCACAGTATAGGAATAAAAGAATATTCAAGATCTTTAAAAAAATTTTGGTAAAAATTTCAATGTTATGGTGCTAGAACTTGGTCACACATTTCAAGACACCAATTAAACCCAATGAAGAGCACAACTTCATGTTGTAAATAGAAATATATACACTTAAATTAAGTCAAACTAAAATTAAAAGTTATGAGCACTTGCTATTGCTGGAGCATCATCTTCTCAAACATGAAAATTTAAAACTTACACATGTACATCTATAGCTGAAACTAACAAATGAGTAAAGCCAACAAGAAAAGTCAGTGTAACTTCCAAACATACCTCATTTAAAGCTTCCATAGCAATGTAGCCATCAACTGCCTGCATATCCAAATCGTACTTCACGTCTTTCACTGCGTGATAAAATAAATATTACTTAGCTACATTTAAATATGATGTCAAGTGTCTTTATACATAGCAAGTAATTCTCTAGATTCATAAGTATCACACATTAATGATCGGAATATTATGAAGCAATCATACCATCTACCCAGTGGATAGGTAACATCTGGGGCTGCTCTGCTGGCTTTTTCTCACTTCCCTCTGTTGTTTTATCATTACCATAGTCAAATATGACAGCAACACGGTTCCCACTCACCTCATATACCTCTCCACGTTGTCCACTAGACAATGGCCTGAAAGTATGTATACACTCTGGTTAAAAGCTCAGAACTCTTCTAGTTCAATATATTTTGCAAAAGGAGCACAGAGAATGGTATTCCCCATTTTCAGGCAAGTCGAATTACAAAAACCACAGATGGCACAATGTCATTACAAAATACCAATATCATGAATACAGAGTATGTGATGATGATATTCACAGCCAAACAAAATCCCATTCATCAATTAATAAAACAATAACGGTGATTGGAAGAATTGTGAATGGCATTGTACATCTGGGAAGAATCATTTCTAGAAAAACCATGATGCAGAGAGGAACCAACAAACACATCGGAAGGCAATAATTTTAACAAAAGCAATAATTTTAACAAAAATTTGCCTCACATCCAATGCTGCACCTGAACTATTCAAACCCAAATCCCCAATGATTTGAAAAGGCAGATCGAACTCACTCGGAAAAATCATAATTATGAGAAAATTACTATCAACACCACTAGGAAGACCAAACAGCCATCGACTCAAATAATATTAGACCAACATATCATAGAAGATATTTAAGCGCCTGAAATTTACAAGATGATATTTCATAGTCCTCAAACGTTTTTCACAGTGCATAGTTCTAGTACCAGGTGTCAACTTCTTCACAAGCTTACACCACTCGACGGTTAAAATAACAAAGCACGTAGTCATATCGAAACAGACAAGAACAACAAACGAAAAGATAAAAATTCTAAGGAAAGCCAGACTATGAGATAAGGAGGATAAACTTTAAAAGACGGACTACTTCTGTAATATTATCAACTAGATGTGTACTTTATCTCTGATCAGCTGTCAGAAATATAAGACATTGGAGACTTGAACTCAAAAAGGAAAAAGAAGGCCAATCCTGCGTCCAGCTCACGCAATGGACAGCCAATGGTATTTCCAACCCCTCGAAGTTGAAGCAATATTAAAAAGGAACCACCTTTGGGGGACGAAAGATAAAACCGAAGAACAACAAGACATTTATCGATTTTCACACTAGATGACTTACCAACCCACCTGCCAGGAATAACGGTAAAAGCACTCTTTTGACCATCAGATGTAGAAATCTTCCCCAATACGACCCTGTGATCCATTTACAAGCCAATACAGGATAAGGATGAAATCATAACTCCAGGTTTGATTGCTAGAAGAATTCTCTAGCATAGATACAAATGGAGACAGTGACCAACTCCCAACTACTGGTTATAATATCCAGGTTTACAATATGAAGCCTTTGATTCCTCATTCCAAATATTTAGGTCCATTGTGGACTTTGCTAGACTACGATACACATATAAATAAAAGTTCATAAACAAGTGTAGACTCTCAATCCGTATTTTAGACAGCTAAAATAGATCAGAAGATTTAAACTGAAAATCCTTTTTATTACTAATTAAATACCATGCACATGGAAGAAATTATATCAATGCAGGAAACAGGGATGCCACAATTAACTGACAAACGAAAAAGGAGTACAGAGCACAATCATTGCTCAGCCCTAGGGGTGGTTGAGTCAGGAATTATAAAGTTGTATAATACATTACAGTTGTGAAGCAAGTAAAACATCAAAATACTGCACTTATGAAGCTAACTACCAATTTGCCTCGCCTTAGATTCAAATAAAATCAATTGTTAACACATGAAAGAACAACAACAAGCCTAACCTATAGCTCAAATGATTCCTAGATCACCAGAGTAACAACTTTTCATGACATAACATGCTACAAAGGGGCGTAAGCACTAAAACAAACCATGCTATGAAAGGGATCACATGAAAATGAAGATGATCGTTATCGTTTCTCCAGCATTATGCAAAAGCTAAACATCTATTTTTCTGCCATATTTATGCTAATTTCCCAACATGTGTTAGATAAAATCGTTTAATGAACCCCATTACAGTAGAGCTATATCCAGGCAAACATTTAAAATCTTTAAGCACAAATAAAGGGAAAACAGATTCGCACATAAGTGAATCAGTAAATTACCTATGCTTTGCTTCGTCCTTCTTAGGAGACCCAACATACCTTACTTGGTCTCCTGCAAATACGTGGGCAGATTAAAAATTGGAGAAATGAAAAAGGAAAAAGTTAAAAGGCTAATGAAAGAAAGACAACAGAAAGAAAAATATAATAGATGCAAAGAAAAGTTATTAAAACATGCCAGGCCCTAGAGCTTCTACAACGATGAAGATACATCATCGAGCCTAGACACTGATACAATACTATCCAACCAGCTAAAAAGACATCATTTGATGCAAATAGCAAAGTGAACACGTTGAGAATTGGCTACCTTTCTTAAGAGGCCGCTTGGCTTTATCACAATGATCAACAGGTGCAGCTTCCGATACCTCACTAGAGCCATATAGTTGTTCCGACATTCTCTGCCACAATGTAGAGCAGATAAGCAAATATACAGCATTTCCATATTCTATCAATTATAAATAAAAGAGTGATGCAGCAGTCATCGTGTAAATAAGAGAAATAGCAACCAGATGGCATGCATTGTGAATCCTTTTTAAATCATGTGTAATTTCTCCGATAAAAAAAAGTTAATACAAAATTAATAGTATAAGGAAATGGAAAAAAAATATATATATGACAAGGTAACAAAAATTCACATTGTCCATAGGAAAGGGGAAAAAACTATCATGGTAGATTAATGAACCTCACAGAAGATCATACCTTCTCAATATCCTCTATGTCGGCCCCAAGTTTCTTGAGGACTTCCTTAGAAATCTCCAAATATCTTTCTTCATCGTCAGTTCCTTCTATCTTTGCTTCACCGCTACTCGTCTCATCATTGTTTGCATCGGTTTCTTCCTCACCTTCTGACTCTGACGTGCACTGATCTGATTCTGCAATGTCATCATCTGATTCAGACTCTTCATTGTAGTCATCAGCACAATCCTGATCAAAAATCGACAAATATCACTTAAACATTCATGAAACAAAATGGTAGCATGTCATAGCAAATAAACATCAGAATCTCACGTAAGGTGCAAGAACGCTGCTGTCAAGAACCAACAGGGGAACTTGTGTATCTCGAGCAAGTGCTCGTACCAACCTCTCCCGGTAGAGCTCAGTGCCTGTATAATCAGATCATTATTAGACCTCATTTCCTCACCACTTACATAGTTTGATATAAACGAATGACGACATTAAACAATGCAATGCATTTTCTTGTCAACAAAAAACCTGGAACACTCTGGAGCAATATTCTCCCACTTGAAGAATCTAAACGAGCACCATACTTGGAAGTCATACTTTTTTGTTTAATATGTGAGCTAACACATTCCACCAGAGTATCCTTTGTGTGTTCGCTCGAGCAAAAATGAGCAAAACAGAACATATTAGCAAAAAATGGAAATGACTAGAAGAAAGTAACACGATAACAGAAGGAAAGAGTCTTTGGTTATTACTGGACGTAGTAAGGGAAAGACTCCCAAGAGAGCTGTATAGTTTCCCAAGGTTGAATTCTCCGCAAGAACTCATTCTTCAATCTTTCTCGTTTATTAAGGAAAGGTGACTCCTTTCTGCTTTCACTTGCAAGCTTCTCATTGTTGAGCCATTCTATTTGGTCTTGCTCTCCAAGTTGAGCATGAGAATCGAAATGCTCAACACCAGACACATTTTTCCCTTTTTCCGTCTTTTCTTTATTCAGAGGGAAACGGCTGTCCTCACTAGCATTGCTTCCATCACCTTCAGAACTAAACCGACGCAATTGGCTGTTCCAAGAATAACTTAAATAGTCTCTAGAGGCAACAGGAGAATGATGGTTTCTTGTCAAATGATTTGTTAGTATACTTGTGGACCTATAAGATTGGGAAACGGTGTGGTCACGAATCAGTGGCCTAACTAAGCATTTGTCTTGATGCAATACAAAACCCCATCTCTGGTTCCTTCTTATTGTCCTTGTATACATTGCAAGTTTCTTTCCTCTGCTAAGGTCACTGCAAAACAAAAAAAACCCTTCATTTAAATACAAAATACCAATACCAATCTAGAACAACATAAAGAACATGAATTCTGAAAACAGTTGATTCAAATTAATGAACTGACTTCCTCGGAAGTTGGTGTTTAAAAATGACAAAATGCATAAATAAAAACCTAATTCAAGGAAAAATAAGAAAAAATAGGTAGGTCTCCGCATGTTTCATTACCTAACTTGAGCTAACAGATATTGACAAAAATGGTTTTGCTCATTCCATCTTAATATGTTAAGAATCAATCAGATCCTTGGAGGAAGAAGATGAGAGAAACTCGCGAGAGAGAGAGAGAGAGACCGAGTTTCGTAGGTTTCGAACTCTGGGCTTTACGTGGCGTTGTATTCTTTTAACCCATCTTGTTTTCACTTTCAAATGGGCCCATTTTAAATCTTATTTTGGGTCAGCCTATGTAAACCAATTTTTTTTTTCACAAGACAAAACATCTGTTTCAAACATCGTTGTGGTACTGGTACGACCTACTATTGTAGTTGATTAGCTATTTTGTGGTGTGTTTATAAGATTTAGCGATGAACCCGGGCTGAAATAATAATCGAGTTCCGGTTTACCGATCCGACCGGCCGGTTCGGTGAGATATTAATGAGATTTATTTAATTATTTTACAATTTTCTTCGGGATTATGCGAACAGTACAGTGAAAGATCGAGTCGTGCCGACGAAATTATCAGTTTAATAGCAGAAACTGATTCGATGGCGAAGATGACGACGACTCAGTCGCAGTTCTTGATGAACCTCTCTCATGGACTCTCCTCCCAACGGTTCTTTATCACTTTCCTCTATACCCTTTACTGCTTTTTTCTCTTGTTTTTGCGTTCTTCTGAATTTTTTTTTGTTTACAATTTGTTTGTAGCAATCTCAGAGCGGATAATCGTGTTTCATCTTCTTCATGTCAAATTACACGAAAGAATCGGTCATGGGCATTGCCAGTTTCCTTAAAAGTTGAGAAATTTCAACTCCAACGAGGAAGGAGAAGAAGAGGATCGCCATGTTTTGTGGGGAGCTTCGAGAACCAAGGGTTGGTCAAAAATGGGATTGGTGATGCTGATGGGATTATAATTGTCGATCACGGTTCTCGCCGCCGTGAATCCAATCTTATGCTTGGTAAGACTTCTGTTTCTCTTCCTTCTCTTTTTCATCTTCTTTCTTGTTCTCACTTTATTATATACTTCCTTTTAGCTTGTCTAAGTTTATGTGATTGTGTGGTTGTTTCTGAGTCTCAGAGGAGTTTGTGAAAATGTTCAAAGGCAAAACTGGTTACCCAATTGTGGAGCCTGCTCATATGGTAATTCTTCTTAATGCTATAACCTTTCTGCATAGTTATCGACAAACTTTAACGTTTTGCTGTGCCAAAATTGTGAATAATTGAAGAGGATTAGTTTTGGTCTTATAACTAGTGTTCCTTTAAAATGCAGTAAGACCTGAGAAGTTTTCAATGGAACTGGGAACCGCTAGTAAATTCGTTATTTCCATTAGTTTCATTGACTTGTGTGAGAACCATACCCATGAGTTTGAAACAGTCTGATTTCAGTTTCTTGGTCATCTTTTGGATTTAGCTTAATATGTTTTAATCGACAACTTAGATGAAACCACCATTTCATTGCTTCTCACTTTCAAGCTCTGCTTACCGTTTCCTGTTGTTCACACTTTACATCAGGAATTGGCTGAGCCATCTATAAAAGATGCATTCAGTTTGTGTGTACAACAAGGGGCCAAACGTGTAGTTGTGAGCCCATTTTTTCTATTTCCTGGAAGACATTGGCATAAGGTATGGCTCTGTTCATCTCAATTTGTTTTGTTTTCTTGAAGCTTTTAGCTTTTCTAATTTCTGGGATTGTTGGAGGATTTACATTATTGGCCTACTGAGATCATGACCCTTATTTGATTAAGGACATTCCCTCGTTGACGGCTGATGCTGCAAAGGAGTTCTCTGGCATCTCATACCTCATAACTGCACCTCTCGGCCTTCATAATCTCCTCATGGTAAGAAATAAAGCAAAACGAGCGAGCACTTTAAACCTAAGGAATGCGAGCACCCTCATGCATTAGTGAATGCCACTTATTTCCCTTTGAACCTCCAATAGTCAATCTTCTGACGTTTTAATCTTCACAAGAGATCTGTACTTCTTTTGACTCTTGACATTTCAGTAATCTGCTTATATTTCTTCCTGCAGGACGTTGTGAATGACAGAATCCAACATTGCTTGAGCCATGTTGAAGGAGATGCTGACGAGTGTCTTGTTTGTGCTGGAACAAACAAGTGCAAGCTCTACAATAGTTCTTAGGTGTACATGTAAGAACGTTTTTGTATATCTCCTCCTCTTCTCTAACCTTTCGGGGAAAAAAAGAAGGCATATTATATTGTTCATAGTCATCAATTAGTACATGTCCTATGTTTCAACAAGGGCGTTTTGAGATATATGTCCTGTTCTTCTTATTGCAGACCAATTTGAAAGGACTACAATAATATAATAAGAGCTGCCTGTTAAATGTCGTGTCTCTCCCTCTTATCAACAACTTAAGAAATTGAAATTTGATGTATCGTATATCAGCAATGTTTCATGGTTATAAAAATATAAGATTCTCTCGATGCTTTTTCTGGCCTTCTTTTCTTTCTTATTGGGTTTCGTGCATTGCATTTGTTGAATTATGAGTAAGCTCTTTTAACCACAAGGCAGAGATCATTTTTCCTTATTGTAACCTCTGCAGTTAAAGGTGAGAAGGAAAATGTATGGTTGTAGGAGATAGCAAAGACTTTTAAAAGTCTTCCACCAAATTCTGATGGATGACTATGTGGATGTGGTGGTTCATGGACCAGTACAAAGAACATTTCAAGAAGTCGTTTGGTAGCTGTACCATATAATTATGTTCACATGATGATGAGAGTTGAATAATTCAGAAAAGGACAAACAGTGTTATGATTGAGTTGACTTGGAGTCTTGTGTCATGAAGGTAGTGCGTAGTTGACTCTTTTCTAGTGTAGGAGGTAGAGATTTGGGAGAGTCACTAGAACACGAAATGGCAGAGGCTATTGTTTCTGTTACAGTGCAGAAGCTGGGAGAGTTGCTCTTGGAAGAACCGTTGTTCTTAATTGGTATAGGTGACCAAGTGAAGCAGCTGCAAGACGAATTGAAGCGTTTGAAGTGCTTTTTGAAAGATGCAGATGAGAAGCAGTATAAAAGCGAGAGAGTGCGTAACTGGGTTGCAGGCATTAGAGAAGCTTCTTATGATGCAGAGGATATCCTCGAGGCATGTTTCCTCAAAACAGAATCAAGGAAACAAAAAGGGATGAAAAGGGTGCTTAGGAGGCTTGCTTGCATCTTGAACGAGGCGGTTTCACTTCATAGTGTTGGCTCAGAGATTAGAGAGATCACCTCCAAGCTTTCTAAGATAGCAGCAAGCATGCTAGATTACGGTATAAAAGAAGCTATGGGCAGAGAAGGCTTGAGTTTGTCTGATAATCAAAGAGAACAGAGGCAGTCGTTTCCATTTGTTGTTGAGCATAATCTTGTCGGGTTGGAGCAGAGTCTTGAGAAGTTGGTGAATGATTTAGTTTCTGGAGGTGAGAAACTAAGGGTCACAGCCATCTGTGGGATGGGTGGTTTGGGGAAAACAACTTTAGCCAAACAGATTTTCCATCACGGAAAAGTGAGGCGTCATTTCGATAGGTTTGCTTGGGTATATGTTTCTCAAGACTGTAGACGGAGACATGTTTGGCAAGAGATTTTTCTGAATCTCAGCTACAAGGATGAGAATCAGAGAATACTTAGCTTGAGGGATGAACAGCTTGGAGAGGAGTTGCATAAGTTCTTGAAAAGGAATAAATGCCTCATTGTGCTTGATGATATCTGGGGCAAAGATGCTTGGGATTGTCTGAAACACGTCTTTCCACATGAAACAGGTAAACTAGTGGTGTTCAAATACAATTCATGTTCTATAATCCTTAATCATTTTTATAGGCTAGTAGTATTTACTGTAGGAAGCGAAATAATCCTCACCACTCGGAACAAGGAGGTCGCTTTATATGCTGATCCCAGGGGTGTGTTTCATGAGCCACAATTGCTAACATGTGAAGAGAGTTGGGAGCTGTTGGAGAAAATTTCATTATCTGGAAGAGAAGATATAGGTAATCATTTTGCTCTAATCTTTCTGCAGCATATATACTATCATACTTCACACACTTATTCACCTGATATGCAGAGCCAATGTTGGTCAAGAAACTGGAGGAGATTGGGAAGCAGATAGTCGTAAGGTGTGGAGGTTTACCTCTAGCTATAACAGTTCTTGGAGGACTTCTGGCAATGAAAAGTACATGGAACGAGTGGCAAAGAGTATACGAGAACATCAAATCATATGTTTCAAATGGAGGTAGTAGCAATGGAAGTAAGAACATGCTAGTTGCAGATGTTTTATGCTTGAGTTACGAGTACTTGCCTCCCCATCTAAAGCAATGTTTCCTCTACTTTGCTCATTATCCTGAAGACTATGAGGTTCATGTGGGAACATTAGTTAGTTACTGGATCGCAGAGGGAATGGTTATGCCTGTAAAACACACAGAGGCTGGCACGACAGTAGAAGATATCGGGCAAGATTATCTCGAAGAATTAGTAAAGAGAAGCATGGTTATGGTTGGGAGGAGGGACATTGTAACTTCGGAAGTCATGACATGCCGTATGCATGACCTCATGAGGGAGGTCTGTTTACAGAAGGCAGAGCAAGAAAGCTTTGTGCAGGTTATTGATTCAAGGGATCAAGATGAAGCTGAGGCTTTTTTATCTCTTTCAACCAATACATCTCGTAGAATTTCTGTTCAATTACATGGTGGAGCAGAGGAGCACCAGATCAAGAGACTTTCTCAGGTGAACTACATAAATCCTCGGTCTAGATCTCTTGTGTATATTATAAAGAATCAAGGAAGTTCATGGGAACTTTTGGGTAAGGTTTCCTTCAGAAAGATGAAACTTCTTCGAGTTCTAGATCTCGAGGGAGCTCAAATCGAGGGAGGGAAGTTGCCAGACGATGTAGGAGATCTCATCCATTTGAGATACCTGAGCGTGAGATTGACAAACGTGAAGGAACTTACATCATCTATTGGAAACTTAAAGTTGATGATTACTCTAGACTTGTTCGTGAAGGGGCAACTGTATATTCCAAACGTGTTATGGAAGCTGCGCCGGCTGAGACATCTGTGTATGCCTTCAGATCTTGATCCCATAACAAAGCTGGACTTGAGTACTCTAAGAAACTTGCAGCAACTCTGGGATTTTCCTGTCGGAAAATGCAATCCAGGGGATCTTTTAGCAATGACAAGTCTAAGAAGATTGTCTATCAATCTTTCTTCGCAGAACACAGACTTCGAGGTGGTATCTTCTCTAAGTAAAGTCTTGAAACGTCTCCGTGGCTTGACAATAAACGTTCCATGCGAACCTATGCTTCCACCAGTTGATGTAACACAGTTGGTTTCTGCATTTACTGATCTCTCTGAACTGGAACTGTTTCTTAAACTAGAGAAGCTTCCAGGAGAACAGAGTTTCTCCTCTGATCTTGGTGCTCTACGTTTGTGGCAATGCGGATTAGTAGATGACCCGTTTCTGGTTCTCGAGAAGCTTCCAAACTTGAAGATTCTCCAACTGTTTGAAGGATCATTTGTAGGTAGTAAGCTTTGTTGTTCCAAAAATGGTTTTCCTCAACTGCATTCTTTGACATTGTCAGAGCTTGAGAATCTAGAGGAGTGGACTGTAGAAGACGGTGCCATGATGCGTCTTGTCTCCATGGAGTTGAAGTGCTGTAAGAAAGTGAAGTCAGTTCCTGAAGGAACGAGATTCCTGAAGAATCTACAAGAAGTGCAGATTGGGAACATGAAAAAGGCATTTAAGGACAAGCTGATCTCTGGTGGTGAAGATTTCTACAAGGTTCAACATGTGCCTTGTGTTGTTTTCGAGAACTGTGACCTTTAAGGATTCGGGTGGTAAATGGTATATATGATCTTGTTAAAGATTCCCCTGAAAATATATAGTATGCATGCTTTCTTGAAATTCAAGATATTCCAAATTTCCAATTAAATTAGATAAAAAACAAAACCAACAATATTAGAATATGAAATCCAAAACATGAAGGAAAGCGGAAAGGAAGATAGATGTAAGCGCGCGAGCTACACATTAATCATTATTCCCATAGTCTTATACTGAAAATTGAGAACAATGAATTTGTTTTCAAACTGATCCCAGTAAAGCTTCAGAACATCGCCTTCTACGAGATCTAAAGAATGCTTCATAGTACTCCAACCAGTCCCGAAATAATACTTAGTGTCGTCAATTCTTTTCAGGGTAACTGTGTATAAATCGTCTTCTATTATGTCGTGGACTTGCACTTCAAAACCGTTGTCCAAACCCTCATCTGTAACACCATTCATCCTCGTCAGGACAGACATCACTTGTGTTTTTGGTAATACCACATTACCAACAATGTCACTCTTTGATAGAGTCTTTGATATGATCATAGCCCCGTCTAGTTCATCTCTACCATAATTCATCTTGCTAAAAAATTTACCACTAGATCTTTTGAAAGTAGAAGAATACTTGTATATTTTCGGTGTTCTAAGATGCAAACATGCAAACATATATATAGGAGGCTTAACCTAAGAAGAAAGGAAAATACAAGAGAAAAGGAATTCGGAGGAAATGAAATCTTCCGTTAATAAAATATAAATTGTTCTTATCAAAGTAAGAAAACAAAATTGAAATTTCTTTAATCTCCGTTAACAATATGGAAATTGTCTAATTATTTCCTTAATACTCCCGAAGTGGAAAATGGGAAGAGGCATTGTAACTTGGGATCAAAATGAAGCTGATAAGACTTTCTTAACTTCGAAAAAGAATATTGATACATCTCGCAGATTTTATCTATATTTACTCTAGAATTGTATATTCCAAATGTGATATGGACTAAGGATCATCCTTAGAAACCATCATAAGTTTTTCCTTTATCTAAAAACTACCAAAATTCAAATTCAAGACTCCTTCCCATCACGTGTATTGACAACGATAAGGACAATTTTTAGATACATTAAAAGCTCAAAGTAAAAAAAAAAATACACACTAAATTTCTTCATGTAGCATCCTTAATTGTCGCTGCTCCAGTCCATCTTTCCATTGGAGAAGTCAGTGGCGGACCCAGATATGATTTTTACCTGGGTCAAAAAGAAAAAAATTAAACAAATGTGTCATATTGGGGAATCAAACTCAAGACATGTGGGTGTCAATGATGAAGGAATTGCCGACTTTGCTGCAGATTCTTTAAGAAATACAATACAAAACGACATATATATTTATTTTACCTGGGTCAAGTGACACCCCTATCTTGTCATCTTGTGCATGGGTCCGCCACTGGGAGAAGTCCTACCACCATGGATCGCAGAAACAAATCTACTACTAATAAAAGGAACTTATTAAGCCTCTCAATGTGTCCACATCAGCAAAAACAAAATCATCTAAGAAGATGCCACGTCAGATTTGTTTGAGAATTGTCCTCAGGAAAAGAATGCACTTCGTCTCCTCCTCAATCTTCGATATTGATAGATGCTTTTATTAGTCACCTCATTAATGATTTGTTAACAAAAAACGTTACGCTATAAATTATAAACAAAAACTCTCAAACTAATCAGCTCTTTTAATTTGCATTACGTTTTCGCATCCCTAAGTTCAACTCTTTTGTCTTCTATTTGCGTTCATACCAAACGACAACCAGAGTTAAATTAATAAGAAATTCCCACATTAAAAAAGGTAACCTGTGATGGTTTTGAGAAACTAAGCCAATTTTCGAAAGGACAAGAAAGCAGTGTCAAATCCATAATGTAATATTGACGTTCGCCAGACCGTGAGCGGATGGTGCTATGGGACACTAAAAAGTGATACTGACGACGTGGGTTTACGGTCTTGATCGGCCAAATATCTTCTCCAAATCTCAACACAAGGTTCACTTTGTTCTAATCCTCTATATGAAATTTCTCTATTTTAAATTTACCCTAGAGTTTGTTATCTTCGTCTATGATTTCGGTTTGGCTTCATAGCTAATTATCGATTAGAATTAGAATTACGTTAGAAAGAAACTTACAACCAAAATTAAGTAGATTTTTCAAGACATGTCTGCGTTTTCATAGTGATCTAATGCACATGCCATGATTAGGAAATTGGTGCTGCCATTCTACTAAGATCACAGAGGATGAAAAGCAAGAGTGTTCTCAAGTTCAACCTTAGTCTCAGGCTTAGAGACGTTCCGTTAGCTAAAGGGCCACTGAGACAACTGCAAATAAATTATGAGGGGAAAATAGATGAGAAAATACTATATAGACTAATAATAAATCTCAATTTATAAATATAAAATAGAATAAAATTTTATAGATTTATAAATTTAAACAATTAATAGTACACAAAAAGTGTAGTGTAATATGATTTTTTTTTGCATGTCTACTAACAAAACTATAAACGAACAAAAACTTAAATTAACTAATTTTTAAAAAATTAAGCTGCCAAGTACATCTCCGGGCGTAACCCGGATTCTCCCTAGTAAAAGAATCTAAAAGTTATCTTAAATCACTTCTAATCCTAATAGGGATATATATTCTAGACACTGATTGTCACGTGAGTCTCACCTTGCCACCAAACTGAGAATCTATCAGCAGCCTTTAGAGTTGTGTGTTGATTCACAAAAGATACACACAAGACGCGATAACTAGGAACAATCAAGAAATCTAGTATATATGAAAATTCCAATTCAATAATTGTACTAAAAGAAAAGGGATATAGCCATATACATATATAGGCGATCAAATCTCATCAATTCAGTAATATAAAAACCCTAATTTGTTTCTTCATGAAGATGGTCGTCATCCATAATTTCAGCACGGCAGAGAGGGCATTTATAATTATCACTCCAACATAACCACTGATTGATACAATCATCATGAAAGACATGCGAACAATTTCGCATTTCGGATAAGTCTTGATCCTCCTCCAAGCAAATAGCGCACGTTTCCATAGCTGGTTCCTCCAATATATATGGTCTTAACGTGACGTCAAAGGAGATGTACAATGGCCCTTGAACTCGCTTGGCTTTGGAAGCGATGTTGAAGGAGAGAATTCTGCATAAATTGGGAACTTGGAGCTTTGGATAGAGGAGATGATACATGTTGTGTTCATCAAAGCTAGTGATGTTGTTCAAAAGGAGGTGAGGGGTTGGGAACGGAGGAGGATCGCTTGATCCTAAAGCGACCACGTTTTCACGCGTTACACTGATCTCCACTGTGTTCGATGTAGATTTGCGGGTAACGTTTGCATCAATACACACGACTTCTATAATCTCACTCATTCTTTAGAATTGGTGGAGGGTACCAAAAAAATAAGTGATAGACAGGAGAAGGATGGGAGTGTGTAGCTATCCTATAAATATATCAAAACCTAAACGTGTTTAGGAAAACCAAAACCAAAAAAAAAAAAAAAAGGAAATCTTCTATTTCCTTTTTCTTTAAGATAATAATTATATAATTCATGTGCATTATTTTGATTTTTGTAATTTTCCTTTTTTAAGTTTAATTTTAAATTTCCTTTTTTGGGAAAAAAAAGTTTCCGCCGATACGATATCATCCACTGATAGAGAGAAGCCTAATAGAGTAACAATTATTTATTTATTTTGATTTTCTTTTTCTTTTCCTTCTATTATTTGGTTTTCAATTAAATTTTTGCCATATATTTTCAAAAATTAATTTGTTTGTCGATTGCAATTGAATCACTCGAAACCACATGGATGATGGCTCCAACAGATATTATTGTCAGCATTATAAAACTCAGAGCCCAATGAACCTAATTAAAACCCACAAAAACCTAGAAAGTTGTACGTATTAGCAATTTAGCATCGAGATCTTCTGCATTTCTCTCGATCCCTTATGTTATTTTTATGTTTAAAATTCGGCAATTTTTTTATGTTTCTTCAAGGTTGAATATAGAGAGACGACAGAGGGAAAAACAATAGTTTTTTGTGCTAATATTACAATAGGTGACTTGTTTCGGTTCCTTACCCTGATTAAAGATAGAGATGACTACTATACTAATTATGTCGGCTGATTTATGAGCTTAGTGAAAAACCACACGTACTAGTGTCAATAATAAGTATCGAAGTAACACATGATAGTACAATAGTTTTCCTTAACCCTCTTGACTACCATAGTGTCTACGCAACGGCCTTTACATCCATTACACACTGGTCTAGAGTTGCCACTGTTGGATACAATAAGAATACTTTCAGCTCCTTTATGCATCCTGATCATATGGTTTGGCTTCATGTAGACCCTATCACCCAGTAAACATGTAACATGAAGAGTGACTGAGCAAGAGTTGCATGTATAGAACCACTTTGTAGCATCTAGTTTTGTTTCACAGATCTCGCACCAATACTGATCAGGATCTGTTGTCTTCTCTTCTCCGCAGCAAAGAGTGAGTGGATGTTTATCGTGCTTGTAGTGAGCCACAGTAGGCAGAGTAGCACATTTAAGACCCAAAAAGAGCTGGCATTCGATACATTCTAGGTACATAGATGAGCAGGTGGAAGACTTACAAGCCATGCATTCACCTTTGGTCAAATTGATGAATAACGGATGATCATGTGGATGGCAGTCTTGGATTATAGGATCAGTAAGTGAAGCGCATCTTGCATCTATTTGAAATTCACAACCCTTTTCGCAGCACTTGTACATGTAACCACATCATTCTCGGCTACAACCCTTGCACACGAAGAAACTTAGGTCATAATAATGAGACTGGAGCTTGTTGAGATGAGGAGAGAGTAAATGAAAGAGGGTGAGCGGGTGCTTGTGTAGCGGATGGTGTATTTTTCAAGGAAGGCATGCACATGTTTCGTGGAGAACAAAATCGCATTGGACACAGCTATGGAACCTATCTGAAACTGTTATCCGGAGGATGCAGGCTTGGCAAAACTTGTTTTCATGGTCTCCATTCCCATGATGAATCTTTAGATAGTGATGGTCATGACTGAAATGTTGAATAGTCTCTTCATCAATCCTCACGAAATGGCTCAATAACTTCTTCTTCTTCTTCAGGAACTCCCTCAAGATCTTTCCCATCCCACACTTCTTTCTTTGTTGCACATTTTGAATGAACAGCATAATGACATCCAGGCGATGTTGGTGACGGGTGATCTTAATGACACGAGGTAAGTAGATACATCTTCTACGGACCATGTAGTTACAAAGCAGGCAAGAGTAAACTGAATCATCTAAAGTGTTAAGTGAAAAGCCACAAGCATCACATGGAAGAGGGAGTTGTCTAGGAAAGAGGGTAAGAGTGTGGTCATGGCTTTTTAGGTTTTCAATAGTGAGAAGTGGTGAATCCTTTACACAAGAAGAGTGTAGACTGAATTTGCAGATAGCACAATGATAGTATGTCATATCAAAAAGCGAAACATAGTCTGTGTTGCTGACATATGTAATATTTTTCCGACAGGATTTGCATCTTTTATGATTCCCATCTGAAGCATCTCCAGAAATATCAATGTATGATTCGGAGCAGTAAACTAACCAAATTTCAGGTATCTTAGAGCTATTAAGACGAGGATCTAAGAAGGTGAGGGTGAGAGGGTGGATGAGGTGGAAAGGGTGTTTAATTTCTGGAGGAAACAAGTGACAACCTCTGTGAAATTCCAAGTCACAAGTAGCACAATAGTAATAGTACCGACCTTTATCCCGAACCCGAAGGTGGTGTTGGCCTTTGCAGGTGATGCAGAGGGTGAGTCGTGGTTTCGTTCGTTGGCAAAGTTTGTGAGGCTCTTTTGGATCAGACAGACGACACAAGGGCAGACTTTTTTTCCTTTCATGGTTGTAGAATCTCAATTATGAATTCTCTTGCTTTAGAGATACACTTCTTCACCCCCTTTGTAGTGAATGGTCATTTATTTTTCAAGCCAGGAGCTACTATGTGCCAACTTGAGTTACTATTGCTGTCATAACTCACTTTCGTTATTCTCTTATATCTTTTGAATCTATCCATAAGTTATTGTAGTAGAGTAGATTTTTGTTTTAAGAAAAGTTGAATTACTAATATTCTTTAAAAACTGATCGCAATTAGCGTTACAGTTACCGTATGATCTTAAGCTATAAAACAACAAATGACGAAAACTAAACAATTTAGTCTAGGATTTAGTATTCTAAACATTCTAGGAGCTAGTTTTTCATCTACGAGTATATATCACTGTTTTTAGTAATGTGCAATTCAGTTTCAACAATCCAAAACAAATTTGAAGGAAAAATAAGTAAATCAATTCAGTTTTATGCTTTTTATACTGATGGTAACTAAAACCAACAGGACCATAATCTGTTAAACCAAATTCTGAACCGCAACCATCCGCAACCATACCAAACCCACCAAACCATAAATGAAGTTTAGTGAAGGAAAAAAACCATTTCAACCAAAACCGAAACTGATCGTCTCACAAAGGGAATATAACGGCAATAAGTAAACTTTGACTGAAGAGTGATACCACAAATTCCATCACAAAAACAGAGAAATTTAACAGATTCTTAAAACATGTGTAAAACCGTATACAATGAAATCAAATAAGTAGAGGTTATTTTGACATCACAGATTATGTAATCTCCCGACCAAATCAGTTGAGCTTCATTGATGCAAATGATGCAGCCATATCCAAAGCCGCCTGCACTTGAGAAGCATCCGTTCCCTGAAACCAAAACAACATGTTGAAGATTAACATCTCTTTGTAGATGATACTCCTCTATTGACCATTGTAGACTAAAGAGAAAAGGACTCATACCTGTCCTGATGCAAGACCGCCTTTTCCTTTCCCGCACCTCCCTTTTAGAGGACCCAATGCAGTTGTCAACCATTCGGTGACGTCTAACGGCTTGAACTGGTCTGATTTTTCTGGAACTCCTGCACACACAACTGCCTTGTTTGTGCTTTCATCTGTGCTGAACACCATTATCGACATTCCCTGCAAGGTTCATCAAACAAAACGTTAATTTAACTTTCTTGCTTTCTATGAACAGATGATGGTAGAAGTGATGCTGTAAGAAAATACGGATTACCTTCTTTTCCATGACTTTTGAAACGGCCTCTCGCACAGCTGCTGCATCAAGACCAACATCCAGCTGGATTATGCAGAAAGTCTTCCCATCTGATGCTGCGGACTCAGCTGCCTCTGTTGCTACTTTGACAGATTTTTTCAGGTTTTGTTCCGCTATTTTCTTCTGAGCTTTTCTTACTTCATTCTGCAAAGTTAAGAAAATGATAATTGTCACTTCAGTATTGCTTGCTTTGATTACAAAATTACAGGGAAATCTAGACAAAGCTGCGGACTGTAAGGCTGAAAGAGCTTATAACCTGAAGCGAAGCAATTTTTGCCCTGATATCTGCCTTTTTAGCTGCTGGGATAATTGCTGCATCTACTCGGCTTTTCAAAGCAGAAACTTTCTGTGAATGTGCAAATACGAATACAATAAGTTTTACGTGAATCCAAGTAACGACATCGTCTTAGTTTGTCAATAGTTGACAAAGAAAGGGAGAAAACCTTTTCCAATGCACTTCCCTCCGCTCTGGACGCATCCTCTACTTCTCTTTCAAGTAAGGATGCCGCATTCAACGCATCAAAAGCACATACAGTAGTCACAGCAGTTACCCTACGAATACCTTTAGCAATTCCCTCCTCCGATAGAAGAGCAAACGCTTTGGCTTCACGGGTGTTTGTTATGTGGGTTCCTGGAATTGTCAAAATAACCCAATACTCAATATTCAATTCAGAAAGTAATATTTTGGTCCCAATAGCTAATGCCTATGGAAACCGACCTCCACAAAACTCAGAAGAAAGCAATGACCATTCATTATTTTCAGGATCAGCCAAGAGATCCTCAACCTGTCTCCCAATTGACACCACTCTGACAGGATCAGGGTAGACCTAAAAAGAGTAAAGAGAGATTGCTTTAACAATTCATAGAAACCAAACTAAAAAGGCAGCTACAGAACTGATGGACAGCTTACTTCTCCAAACACTGCTCTTAGACCTTTAATGCGCTTGGCTTCAGAAAGCACTGCTTCCTTGGAAAATACATCTAATTCATCCTTGATCTGTTTATTCACTATGGATTCGATCCTTCTCAGATCTTCAGGATCAACCGGCTTGCCTACTCGAAATAATGGCACCCATTAGATAATTAAAATGACCATCCACATCAAAATAAATATGACTTATTAAATAATGTACCATGGGAAAAATCAAATCGCAATTTTTCAGGAAGAACTATTGATCCCTTCTGATCAATATGATCCCCGAGCACTTCCTGAACTCATGGGACATGAATGTTTTGAGATCCAATAGA